TGCAATTTTATCGTGTTTAGAGTTTAAAATATGAAATAGTGAAAATAATTTTAACTTTATCGACAATTTATCTTTTTTATGACGAAGTTAGTAATAAATTTATTCATCATCATGCTTGACAAGCAAAAGATAATTTACTTGAGCATTATTATAAAGGAATTTATGGATTGTTACGCAATTTTCTTTTAAAAAAAGAAAAAAAATTGTTTTTAAAAGAATTTTTCTTTATTTATAAAATTATTTTTATTCTTTTTTTAAAAGAGTTTAATGTTTGAAAATATGAATACGCGAGTTATTCGCAAAGCAACTTGAAAATTTTTTATATACATATTTATTTCTGACTTAAGATTAGATAAAATTAACATCTACTGGATTTATTAATATCACGAAATATATTGACCATTTAAAAATTTTTTATTAAACAACGAATACAATCTAGAAAATTTTTTATTAAACAACGAATATAATCTAGAAAAATGAATGCAACATGATGTGAATTAATGTATAAAATATACGAAGATACTTAACAAAAATAGATATTGTATTGTATTAGAATTTTTCAACATAATTCAATAATTTCTAACAAATTTTGCTTTAACATAATATATTTCATTGTATGTCTAGCGAAGAAAAAAGGGCGGGAATATATTATGTAAATGACAATTTATTGTAACTAATATATGTATAAATTAGCTATTGTTAACCAAAGTTAGATCCATATATAGTCGCCTATATATATTTATACCTTAGAATACCATATCGCCGATAATCGAAATAAATTATTTATGATGTCCGATGTATTATTTTTGACAACTTTTACATCATGCATGCAATGTTACTAAAATTAGTTTAAAATCAATTAATATTTACGGCATAGTATCTTCTTTCATGCTCTCTTAAAGGCAACGTATGCTAACTGTACATTTTCGTTGATGTGTTTCGTGTGATTCACGTTCTCTAACAGGATTAAAATTCATCGAGAATTCCAGTTAGGAAAACTTCCTGTCTTCTTTATTCGTCGACAGAAAAAAATCTAGTGATATATAATATTATATATTAATAGAATTTTAATAGAATTTCGATACAAAATATTAATTCCATTTAACATTATTGAAAACTGAATTTATTATTGTTTTTGATAATATTTTCTCTTTCTCTTTCTGAATTAATTATCTTTTTAATTTTATAACATTTTATATCTCATTAGCCAACTTAATTATACACAAATATAATAATATAGTAATAAATATAATAATATACAAATATTATTTTCTTTTGTACAAAGCTTTTTTAATTTATGATGAGAAAATAGTGGAAAATATGATTGGAAATGTACGATTGTGAAATAACGAATAATTATGCGCTTATACACATGTAACATGCGCGAAATATGCGACGATCAATTATCTATAATTTTCAGATGGTTTTTTAGAGCATTTGATGACGTTTTGCAGTCATTAAGTAAAGGTTAATGATGAACTAACTATGCACAATTATTATATAATATGTTCTTATATATAATAAAAAGGACATTATAATTCGGCTTAAAGAATATATAATGAATTTTTTTTAAACATGATTACACATTTTAATGATAGCTTAACTGCGTGTCATCTAGATTTATGAATTCAAACAGTTACGCTATTATTAAAATATGCAATCAATCATTCGAGAAAATTCCTTAGAATAGATACATCTGTACACACACACTCACACATTTAATTGCTCTTACGTCTTAATGTGTAGGCATTCTTATTATTATTTTATATTGCGTTTCTTATTCTGAATGTCTTCGATTAAACTGTGTTCTTTTTAAATGATGATATGTTATATATTTTTGATTATATTATAAAATTATCTTCTAAGTTAATTGTTCGACATAATGTAAAAAAGTAATAACTTATAGATTTTTCTTTCAAAATTTTTTGGAACTTATATTTTCATTTAAGTATTTTCATTTAAATATAATAAGTTAGGAGAAACACTTAAAAACCACATACATTATATCATATAAAAAAGTGCTTGTATCTTTGCACCTTTGCATCTTTGCATAAAAATTAACTTTGACTCTCCCGGTTTATTTTTAATATTAAATATCGCAGAAATTATTTCTAGCAATTGTATATAATACTAATTTAAACACAAGGTCTTTCAATAGACTTTTATTTAATATCTACTTTTATTCTTGATATAGTTGCAGGAGGCAATACCTTTGTCGTAACATATTATTATTTTCTGTTTACTTTCCAATTTCTTTAACTTGATATGCATTGAATAAACAATACAAATTATTTTTATCTTTAGTATTTTGTGCAACGTTGATTACACTAATATCTACAAAATTATATCTCAGATAACGTTATGGGTTAGAATCTGAGATATCGAAAACTTCAGATAATAAGTAGTCTAAATCGAAGAAATATCTAGATCAATTATCTGAAGAAATATTTATTACAATAAAATAACTGTCAATTTCTTAACGACATGTGTTTGTAAAACAAGAAAAGATCGATGATTTGTATAAATATAAGATTTCAGAGAAAGAATTCGACGATGTGTGCTTTGTTTAAGCATGTCTGACTTTTCTCTCGTTCCTCTTATAAAGATTTCTCCCACTAATTGCCGAGAGAATTTTTCCGGGTGATTACGAATAGATCGGGCAGAGATTATACACACTTATATTACAACACTTTGCCGCAATGCACGCCGCTTACGATACAATCTGACACAAACATTCCCGGAAAAATTTTTAGCAGCTGCATACATTGCTGTCTAATGATTTGTCTAACGAGATTTTTATAAAAAGATTCAAAGTACACATGCGATTTACATGTTGCTTTATACAATATGATTTACTTTATATTATATCTCCAAGATAATTAAAAAAAAACATCATAAATATTTATTTGCTATAAAACTCTTCCATTTTATTATAGTTACATTTTTTATTAGAGAAAGATTAAAATTTCATTTCTGAAAGAACATATGCAAGATCTAAAAACTCTTATTTTAAAATCCATTGTATACATAAAATTGAATAATAAATTAATAGTCTTTATTTATATTTTATTAGCATGCTAATAATAATTATTTTATTATTCTATATTTTTTATATGTAGTAATGATAAATCTACGAATTTTAAAGGATTTATGTAAATAGAAATCTTTGCTCTGTTTGCATCACTCTATGCTCTTGTTTATTGTTATCTATGTTTTATACAAAACAGTTTTATACTACAGTTTTATAAAAAATTTAACTACATATTTCCATAATTAATCTATAAGATAATATATTATCAATTAGATTCGAGTGAAACATAAGGATACGAGTTGAGTAATGAGAGAACTTGTGCGACACATGTTCTTTTATAAACAATAGTAAAAAATTAATCCAATTGGGACAGGTAGTGAAGGAAATACTATTGATCGAAATGTGTAGATAAATGATCGAATATTTCATAATAAAATGAATCGCATCACTACACGACAAAATGATTACAAATGCCTGGCATTAAATTATTGGCAGTATTTTGGAGTCAGAGTCAGATTCTTGAAAGATCATGTTAAGACCTTGACATATCTTGTTTTTCTTCTTCCATCAGTGCATTGCAATCAATTAAATAAAACCACTTGTTGACCTGTATTTTTAAGCAGTTTTCTCAGGGACTCAGGATATCAGTCTAGTACATTTCCTTATGAGGTTGATGTGTGCGACAAAGTTCAAAGTTGATTGCGTAAAATTTACGCGCAATATATAATAATATATATATAACTGCGATTCTCCGAATTAATCATGCGGATGCTTCAACTTGATTAGGGTCAATGTGAATAAATTGAAAGACGTATTTAATTGGCTGGCGGCATGAACTTTTTGTTATCTTAGTATTGGCGGAATCAATATTTGGCGTGGGATAAGGAAACAAAATTAAATGTTGATTCTTGATGATGCTTTAAAAATTTCTGATCCACGCGAGATTGATCAAATGATTTATATCGCATTAAGAAAGTTTGAAAATAATGAATTTATAATTTTCGCGAAAAGCATAAAAAACCAAACTGTTGCGCGTTTTTTTTTGACTATCAATAATTATGCTAAAATAGATTGATTGTTCTGTTAAGCCGAATATTTGTCAGATCTTGATATTAATATAGCTTATAAATCACAAGGCAAAATGTTTAGCGAATAAAGTCATTAAATTAATAATTTTACAAATAAAAATAATATATTTGATGATATTATCATTTTTATAAAAAATTTATTCATGAGTTCAACTTTAGTTGATAAGATTTCTTTAAATACTTGTAATTAAAATTAATTGTAATCAATAAGTTCTGCATCTGTTATTTGTCTATTATTAGTAACATAGAAATATTATTAATACAGAAATGTAAGAGCAACATACAAAAAATTCGAAGAAATCCTTCGAACGTGTATGTAAATTAAAAACTTCAGATGACATAACATATACATATATACCATGAAAAAAATTGGCTAAATTCTTTGTCTCCGGATATTCTGTAAAATATGCATTCTGGTTTTATCATAATAGGCATTCCGTTTAAAGTTTGTCTGGATTATATTATTAAATTTTTTACGTGCATATCTAAATTCAAAACTTAAAAAAGTTATCGTAGTTATATTTTAGAGAAGGCTATTACAATTGCAAATAAATTTGGCATTATTCTTGCTAGATATGTACACACAATTTATAATACTTATTTATCGAAAATTCTTTATGAAAAAGATATATGTCAATTATAAATCGTTTTAAAAATTTTTTAGTTGCATATTGCAAATTTGAATGTAAACAATAGAGATAAAACGATATATTTATTACTGAAGATGTTTAAAAAATCGAATAAAATAGTTTTTTATTTATAAGTGAATTTATTACATAAATTATATATTTAAAATATGCTAAAACTCTATTGTTATTATATTTAAATTATGTAGTATTTCATTTAAGTTTTTTTCAACCGAAAATTTTATGCCAATAATAATATATATTAAAATGATTATCATCTCATTCAATTTGTTCGATATCTTATTATGTATTACATAAATATTGTCGTAAATTATGTTTTATTACTGTCAATCTTACGTTATCTAGGCACAATTTCATCTTGTCTACCGGTCATTTGAAAAAAACGCGAATTAACGTTTGTAAAAATGTAGGGTGCACTCTCTGTAGGGCAGAGTACTTTCTCTAGTATCTTAGGTAATCCGTTTTCCGTTTTGCTTCCAACCGGTTCCAACATATTGTTCCATAAAAGATTGGCTCCTGAAAACAAGAAAAAGGTAAACATTAAAAAAACAAAAATATTACATTTACATCATTTATTTCGCTATTCTTGCGAAAAATTATACTAAAATAAAATATGACTATGTGAATTGAGCGCCAACAGTAAGCTGGCATGATGATTTCTTTCACCATGACTCTCATTGACATCATCTAAAAAGATACTTAATGATACTTAATAATTTCTCTCTATTCACACGCTATTAACGAACACGCGATTACAATGTGACTCAGCTGTAAGGAATAGATGATAATTTTATTGCCCATTAAAGCTAAAAAATTTATTTATTTTTAAATAATTATTAACTAACCAATCTTCGTGCAAAAGATTTTCATTATTCCGTAATAATGAATTAATTTCCATGATTATCATCCTTATTCTTTTGGATTATAATAATAAAATATAAATGTAAATTTTATATATTTATGAATATACATGCTTGATAATTATCTCTGATATAACGAACAGTGTACGTGTTATATTTAGATGGCATTGAATTTTTAGTTGACTGTCATTATACGTAATATATACAAGTGATTATTAGTATTAATTTTTTTACAGTTAACATTATGCGAACTTGACTGATTTTTAATGTGACTTTTAATGACTAAAATTAAGCAATTTTACAAACTTTATCGCAATCAGTTGATACATAATGTTGTATGCAATCTGCATTTCATTTCTTTAAAATGAAATAAAATAAGAATAAAATTTAATTTTTACATGTAAAATTAAAAATTACGTTGTTATTAACAATATAATATTTTTCAAAAAATTTAGTGAATTATGTAAATTAATAAGATAATAATAATTTTTTAATAAAACTTAGATGAATATTATTGTATAAAAACAAATTTTATTAATTTTTTTATCGATACTTTCTAAATTCATTCATTTATTATTGTAACCATTTATTATCACAGCTATTTTTTCGTGTCGCGGTAGTGAAGTGCAACTGTTTTAACATTTTAGTATTTTTTTCGATGTTGATAGGTGCAACTCAATCGATGACAGTAAATGACAATAATAAATATTATTATAATTATATGCTATTTAGAATATTTAGTTTAACATAAAGTTAAATTTTTGTTTAAATAAAAATATTTGCTTAAAGTAGCAAAAATAGAACGGGAAATTAACATATTTTTTTATATATTAATATATTTCTTATTTCTGTTAATATATTTCTTACCGAGAGCATGTCCTTTCTGACTAAAATGGAAACAATCGTATGTGACCAAAGTAGAATCGATCGGCGGTGCATGATTAGGATCTGCATTAGGTGCATTGAATAATTTAGTAAATGGTTGTAATACCACTGTAAAATCCGGGGATGTATCGTACCTATAAAGAAAAATAATAAGTATTAAGATTTATTAAGATTTTATGTACCGTAAATAGGTTTATGAATTTAATGCTCTAAACTTTTTTAATATACATATATTGAATATAATAAAAATTTTAATTTCTTTTTTAATAATAATAAACTTTAACAAAAGAAAGATTAAAAATTTATAGGGCATTGATCAAGCAAAATATGTTTCATTATACATTGAATTTGTTGAAAATCTACCTTCCTGAGTATATTAAAGTTTCGGCGGCTTGTTGATAAAGTCGTGACATGTTCGATGCAACAATTTCCGGCCGGTTACCTTTGTGCATACAGGCGCAATAAAGAGGATGCAATAGCTTGCACATAGTACTTCGCTTTACTCTAATCGATACCGTAACATCTGTCAAAAAATAATACGAATAGATATAAATACATAGATAAAGTCTTTGTGAAAAATATATGATTATAGTCAACTAATGCTATAATTTTATATATATAACATTTCAAAATTTGTTAAAGAAAGCAAAACAAAGATACGTATTGCAATATATAAAAATAACTTTGCAATAATAATAATTTTTTGTTTATATTAGTACATAAAAAAATGTACTTATATTAGTACATAAAAAAATGTAATTTTTTGTTTATATTAGTACATAAAAAAATGTACTAATTAAATTTATTAACTTTTCTCTACTATTTGTACAAAAAATTACCAAAACTATTAAATTACGCAACGAAAATAAAAGATAGCTCTGTGATATTAGAATTAATGTAGAATTAACATAAATGAGATCAAGCTAATAAGAATCAAAATACGGAAGTATAATCGACTTCTGCATTTTACCTCTTATTAACCCGCTTTCATTTACATTGATTACTAATTAGATTTTATCTAACTAACCGACTTATTAAATTTTTATAAAATTATCACCTATGGTTGGAATCAGATTGACCAGCGTGCGAGGAAGCGCGATTCTTAAGAAATCAAGCGTTCTTCGTAAATGCAGGGCATAACGCATTGGCGAAAACTGTTGTGGATTGTAACATTGCGCCGAGCAAATATCATTAGCTCCAAACAGGATCGTAATAAGCTGAAACATCAGAGAAAAGACTTTGTTAGAGTTAAATGCAAATTTTAATAACGGATATTTCTCGGTTTCTTCTCATCGATCACGTTATGTTGTAATAAAAAATTACAAGGCACATACAAGACTATTACCTTCCAGTGTTTCTCCACATTTATTTTCGGATCATTTTTAATTCTCTGCACCAAGATTTTCGCTTGCAGCAATGCATCTTCAGTAGCGGCAACTGGAAAGGCGATGTTTAGTTTCGCCGAAGTTGAATGAAACTCACCTGTGCCGGTAGAATATCCGATTAACCTCGGATTGAATATCTGTCATTGCAATAATGAAAAATATCGCTTTTTTATTATAGATGAAATCACACTACGCAGAATTGAAAAGAATGAATATTTATTCCTACATAATTTTTTTACTCTATTTATGCGTGAAATTTAGAAAATCGATGAAACGATGAAGATAAAGATACAGACGTCTCTCACATGTCGTACCTTCAATACATTAGGAAGCGTAAGAAATTGTCTCCAATCGCCTTGGCCTCCGGCGCACCAGCTGACCCCGCGTGCCTCGATGAAGGTTCCTACAGCGAACTCTTCCATAGCGCCATTTCCAGCAACTAAGGAATCACCAAGACCACCGATTACATCGATGTCACCTGGTCTTAACCGATGAACGTTGTTTGGTATTGACATGGATCTGCGCGATGAATAAGGGAAAAGTTTTTGAAATCTATTCATCGACTGGAACTCACCGTACCTTTGCCACATGATTAGTTAATCGAGAAAATTATATTCATGTGGTGTTGCATAAATTATTAATTAAATGCAATTATACCTGCCAGAACGAACGTTGCAAGGAAACGAAACGTTATTAGGAATGATTGGTTGTCTTCGTATGTCGCTGCTTGCCATAGGATACGAAATTTCATATGCATTAATTTTTTTCTGAAAATCGTATGATTTGAATGAATAAGACTTAATTCTGTTTGCTTTACGTATATATGAAGAATATACATGTAAATTTTATCGCATGTAAGATGTATATATTACTCGTGCGCGCATTGATCGCAATAATTAATTTTAATGATGCAAAATTATTTTAAAACAATGTGCAAGCATTATATAATACAATTACGTTAATGGTATTATTTTATAAAATCTGTTTAATTGTGCAGTAAAATAGTAATTTCTCTTTTAATAGGATACGACACGCTTTGATGCCCCTCTTTGATATCCAACTACAATATCTAATTACGCGAGATCATATCTTCATTGAAATGACACTCATCGTCAAACTTGTTTTAATAATTTGAGTTAGTGCAACTTGTAAGATATGATTTACAATTTAATTACTATACCATTAATAATAATTTTAATTTGAGCAACAACATAGGATTCTCTCAATATATTTAAACTTTTTTGCATTAATTATTTTGTCATTGGAATAACATTAATTATTAATTATTCAACTACTCTTCATAAATTCTAATTTCGAAGAAAACATGTAAAGTCAATGAGATAATAACGCCTGCAGATAAAGTGTAAAAAAAGTCTTGTAATAATGATTTCCACTTCATGCAGACGTTATCATTCGCGTAAATGATTAAAGTTCTTTCATGAAATTTTTGAAAAAACGGAATCATTTCGAAATTTACAAATATTGCATAATCGAGGAAAAGCCTGCAATGATGATTGTTAAAATTTTAAAAATATTTTTAAGAATATATTTAATTTATTGCCGCATTAAAAACTTCCTGTGCTAATATACGTAAGAATTATTTTTCCGGTCAATTGTATATCTCTGAAGTAGAACGAGACTTTTCACTTGCGGTTTTTTCTGACAGCATATTGCCGGTGTGGATTAGCGTGCTTGATATTCGACACACGTCTATACTCTTGCTTTCTTCGATTTGCATTCTAACGCGCACAGCGTCGCGATACGAATTAAATATTGGCACATATAAATAATTCGTCAGTCGTATCATCGAAATGAATATCATATCCATATGTGTCTTAACTATATTTGTTTCTTCCCCTACCGCGCTGTGGCTCTTATGTCAATTTTGATTTAATTTTTGTTTATTTATTTGAGCCAAATACTCATTATTAATTTTAATTATAATTATTCAACTTTCAAGATATTACGTTGCTAAATATTATTTATTATCGCTGCATGTATTTTATTATAATATCACAATATATATTTTACTTTTCCCTACTTTTTCAAATAATTGATTAAGAAAGATATTTATCAGTAAAAAGTAACTTTTACATCTCAGGAATTTTAAATATCGTACTATATGTAATTTTTATAAGAAGAATGTTTATAATGTGATGAAATTTTGGAAAAAACAATATATAAAAAAATATAAAACCAAAAATGTTAAAAATGTACAAGATTTATTTATGTATGATTATGTAATTTATAAAAATGCAGATACAGATCAGATATATCCGGAAACGGCCCTGAACATATCTGATATGGCACAAGGCCTGCAGGTCAACAAAAAAAGATACCGGCTTTATTCCGGCCTTTCTCCGATTGCATAGAATGCAAAGCATTCTTCTTTTCGAATTGCGTCGATAACTTTCGATTTCGAAATCGAAATTTAATCTTTAACGTCATAATTTATTTTTTTACCAATTTTAATAATATTAATCATAGTAAAAATTTCTTATAAATTGGATTATAAATCGCTATATAAAAAGTGCGTTAATAATTTTACTCTATAGGTTTATATTGTATAAAATTTTTATATTATTATCTAGGATAGTGAGAAAGAGAAAAGGCTATTTGATAGATAATGTCATTTTTGTTATATATATATATTTTTTTAATTTGAATTTTTGTAAATATTTTCGTGAATCGAACAAAAAATTACAAATCGTCTCAGTAAACGAGAAATTGATTTTAATTTGCAAATCACGCGCGATTTCTCGTTTGGTAGAAACGCATTTGGACGATCTGCATACTAAAATATTTTCGGCAATCTTCATAATAATGTCTTTTGTCAGTCATACTATTAAATTTGTGAACAATTACAAGCTTGGTAACTCTCACTTCCTTTATTTTAAACGGTTATATTGCGGTTACAACTTAAATTGCATAAATTAACATTAGTGGGACAAGTTTCTTTTTTTGCATAGCTTTGCCTTATGAATTTTATGTATCCTTATATTCTGTTATATAAATAATTTCTATTATAAATAATTATTTTTTTTTATTTATTTATTTAATACTAAATTATTTATTTAATTTAAAACTTATTAGATTTATTTATTTATATTTATATTTTTTATTTATTTTATTTTATTTATTCATTTTATTAATTAATTTATTTTATTTAATTCTCAAGATAGTATATTTTTGATCATTTAAAATTGATTTACAAAAATTTTACGAATCGCATTGTTACAATTTGACAAATAACTTTGCAAAAAGAGATGAAATTTCGTAATTCTTAACTTCGAGATCTTAGTGTCAGAAACTTACCCCGCCTGCTTGAAGTATACTATACAAGAAATCCATGAAGGATATGCAATCGCCCAGATGAAAGCCAATGATGGTCAGACACAAGTAAATTATTTGAATTCTCATGATTCTCAAAAAACAGAATTGAGAATTATCAAAGAGCGTTTCAACAATCGATGACCAAAGAAATCTCTTTCTGATTTTCTTCAGATTTTTTTATTCTTCAACTGCTAATTTTCATTTTATGTTGGAAGATCTTGTTTGGCCTTCGACTCGATCGAATGAGATTTCCTGTCGCCATCGATTCGCTTCCTTAATCTTAGGAAACGAACATCTTTGACAAGTCTTCGAGTCTTCGACTGGAGAGAACTGCAAACTTTGACGTGTGTACAAGACGTTATTTATGCATGCATAGAGTGAGAGAATCGTTTCGATAAAGCCAAGGTTAAATTCCCGTTTGTTTAACGATGGATATCTATCGCGACAGAGAGTTGTCTAGTTAATCTTTCTCTCATTTTTCAAGTAATGGATAAGTTTCTACCCAATATCTTCATTAAAAAATAAATATGCAAAACTTATATTCTCCGATTTTTCTTGATACTACATTTTATATGCAATTTCATAATCTGATGTTAAACATTTCTGATTAAATTTTGATACAGGCAAAAAAGTCAATCGTTTTTCTTCGAAACTTACTTACTTATCTCTTAATCATTAATAATTATAAATTTAAGAGAATAGAGAATGCAAGTTTTTTATCTATCATGTGTCATTTGTATTGATGTTCGGCTTAGAACAGTTATAGAAATCGTAGCACAGAATATACATATATATATACAGTTCATAAATTAAAAAAAGAATACAATTGGATCCATAAAATATAAGAAATTTATTTTTCACTTTGAATTTGAAATATCTAAACAGATCATAATTTAACCTTTTTGGACTTTATTAGTTTCTATATCACATCTATAATTTAGAGAAAGTGAATATCTTTCAAGGATTCCGTCAGGATTACATCAAATTTGATCTTATATAATTCTCTGTTTTTCCCATTAATATCCCCAAAAATATATTAGTTTATATTATATTTTAATTGTATTTAATATTATATAAAATATTTTATTTCTCTATCAAATTACATCTTTAATTATATAACAATACAATGATTTTTTTCCTTTAAAGTCATTATGATTTTATTTAATTTCTCAGGAATATGGACAACTGGAAAAACGAACAATGTTTTCGCATAATTTTGCAAAGATGTAAAAAATGAAAGAGTCGACAAAGGCTTTGAAAGTGTTACTTTACAGAATCCCCTTTGAAGAAATGAAAGATACGCTTTCGCTAATGTTTAAGTTTGCGTACCAGCCCCGCTGGGTATTTTCATAAATCACTTTTCATATCTTTAGAAAATGTAATTTGTTATGCAAAAAAACAGAAATGATCTGTAATCAGAAGATCGAATCATATATGAATATATTAACATAAATATGCGAATAATACTTTTTAACACGTATTTTAACAAAAGATATATAAAAAATGAACATTATATAAATATTTCATATGTAATGTTTTTTCACGGATCAAAATATATTAAAGTTAATTAAATAGTTTTTGCAAATTTTGCAACTTATAGAAATTTAATTTGGGAAATTTATGTGACTTATAGCAATTATATGCAATATACATATATGTGTATATACATATGTACCTTGCTATTCGATGATCTATTATTCGGCATCGTTACAATTAAGAAATTGTTTAAATGTTACGAAACGTGTTATTAAAAATTGAGAAATTTTTCATTAAAATTACATGTTTTTTCTCACTGCATAAATTAACTTTTACATATCTAAAATCATTCCTCCCAAATTATGAATATTTTCATCATGACATCCTCAAGTCGAAAATTATGTAACTAATTCCCTCTCTTTTGCCGTAAAAATCGTTATTTTCTTGCGCAAAAGCACTCGACAAATAACTGTCAAATAATTGCCGAAGCACCAAACTGTCGCGCAAAATTATAATTCCAACAAGCAATAGTGTTCTCGCGGGAAATGTCGGGAACTTCGAATGGCGATTACGCGAAGGAAACCGATTCTCTTCAACGGTATTACCGGATGACACCACTAAACATGAATGAACCGGGTCGAAGAAAGACGCTCTCGTGCCCATCGATGTGACCCCCACCTTTGAACATATTGCTGGTTCCCCTGCATTCTTTCGTAATCCTATGCGTAGTAGACAGAAGTATACATAAGTGACGAGACATTAGATGGCCGTATTATGGTAAATCGCCTTCCTTCTTGTATTAATATACGCTTATATCACTTCATATAGACGTAGACACATTACACTTTATTTGAATATTTATTGACAAGTTCTCTTTTACGTGGAACAGCTTCTCTGAAATTACAATTAAATGTCATTAACATCAAGGATTAAATATCGAAATAATGTCTTTACCAATTGTACATATACATAGTATTGTGTTTATCTCTATTCTTATAAAATAGCAAAGAAAAAGATGTTTAATTACATTGTTAGATGTTAAATCGGTGAATAACATCAAATATCTAACATCTATACTAATGAAGTTTTTCTTTTATTGATATTATTATGTAAAACCGAAAATACTGATATCTTCTATCGATTTCAATCCTTGATTCATATATCTTGCTGTTTGCAACGTAATCGTAAATACATGAAATAAAGTGCTACATAGAACATATTAAAGAATCTAATTGTAAGAAAAACAAGCATAATACGATTGCAACTTAACATTGTGTGTCTGTTATAATATCACGAAATAATAATCATAATATCATGAAATAATAATAACAATAATTGGTATAATTTTGCACGGAACAATTTTCCATTCACGTATATTTGCTCTATAAAGGATAAATAAACACATTATAACGATTTTGACTATATTTAAATAATTATAATATTGAAACTACGTTTAAAAAGTCACGTCATCATATTACAATTGCTTGATTCATGACCTAATAACGCACTCAATACTTTCTCCTTTGTCAAGTATCAATATTTCTCATACACGAGCAATAATTAGTTTTACTAGAGATTTCGTCTTTTTTTTCAATTGTATTATATATATAATAAAAATAGATCGAGCAATAATGACATAATTTTAAGAAAGTAGAAAAAAAAGGAAAAATATAACTAAATGCTCCATCTCTTTCTAATGAAAGAAAGTAGTAGAGAGCTGAATGCAAATGCGTTAAAAATGTATACGCATACTCACACATATACACATACAAGCGCGAATGATAGAAAGAATGCATTATTAGATATTTTCTCTTCCCTTTTTACTTAATGTTTATGCCGAAGCATTTTGAAGATAGAAAAGATACTCGATCTATTTATATACTATATTTAACCATATACGCCTGAATTTGCATTTGTAGCCAAATAGGGTCTTTCTTCTGTTGGACATAGAAACGTCTTCCAAAGTGGTTCCCAGCTCGTTGACTTATGACCCACTGGTTGTAACAAATTGTTCCATAGACCGTTTGCATCTGCAGAAAACAGAATAAAATGTTCTTGAATATTAAATTAATATTTTGTTTAATAATGAATTGTATTTGATAGTAATTTTGATTTATTCTATATTAATATAACCGTTATAATTTGATAAAATAACCGGCGCTATTAAACTGATTATAATACTTGTAATCGATAATTATTACATATTATTATTTTTTGAAATTATTGTTTTTTTGAGATAAGCGTTACATTCTAATTAGCAAGCTTGAATAAACAAATAAAATTAATCGGTTTTATATAAAAGATTGGTTGAAATAAAAGATTAAAAAGACTTGAAGACTAAAGAAAGATATTTTTATAGAAAATTTCTTGTTAGAGAAAAGTGAACTTACACCATGCATTAGTTTTCTGCCTAAAATGAAGACAATCGATGCTTAAAAATTCATGTATAGGGACAATTCCATCCTTATTTTTTGGAAAGCTTGAATTCGTCAAAATCGGTTGCCATACAGTTGCGAAATCTTCACTCTGAAATTCTGGCATCAAAGAAACTTCCCTCTCTGCTTGATACCACCTAAAATATTTTTTCCAATTTTTACTGGCAATCTCCACATTTCTTCTTCAATAATACAGACAACAATAATATTTTTATATTTCGTAGATATTGATTAGAATTTATTATGTTGTTATCAAATATTTTTATGTAATATATATTTAAAACCACGATAGTAACCAAATTGCGTTATATCAAAAATATATATTATTGATATTTGATAAAAATAATATAATAAACTCACCCTTCTATTATATTATAATAATATTGTCTATTTGGTCTAAATGAAAAGCCAAACATACAAGGGCACTCGAAATCCATTGTGAAAGAGCAATTAAATGATGGGTTTCCTATTTGAGCTTCAATCAAATTCATTGAACTTATAGGTGAAATCACAGCCACGAAAGTTCTCGGCAAATTTTTCTTCAATATTCGTAAAGTTTCGATTACATTTTGTTTATGATCTTCAATAACTTTCTCAGCTGTTGGTTCATAGCATATGTTAGCACAAAAATCGTTGATTCCGATATTCATCGAGACAAACTGTAAATAAGGTTTATTAATATCTAATTGCCAAAATATAATATTTTTTTATAATTAAAAGAATCCCTCTCATTGATAGCAAAATATTTCGTAAATGTAGCATACTAACAAAAAAGTTACAAAATTATAGGAAACAATATGGAAAGCCGTTCATTAAATTTTTTATGAATGAAGAAATTGGTTTAAAGCTTTTGTAAAAAAGATCTTGTAATTATTTACGATTAACTCAATCACAAGTGGTGAAACATAACTTACGTTCCATGACGTTTGTGTTTGTAACAAATTAAATTAGTTGATTAACGTACCTTCCAAGCCTTGTCCCAAGTCGTACCCACCATTGGATAACTTTGAATTCTCTCGACTAATACCTGTGCATCATAAGGCAAGTCCACAGACATAGAGCCGATCTCAGCAACGTGACATTCCGAATTCTCTTCAGTTACTAAAGAAGCTCCTACTGCATATCCTACTACTTTAGGGTTGTATTCCTAATATATAGAAAAATATATATAGAAAATATATATAGAATATATAGAAAATTTATATAAGATTTTTATATTAGATTTTTATTTTAAATTAGCCCTTCTCAGGACATGTCATAACATCAATTCAATAGAACACTATGTAATTTTTTTAATTTTTTCAATTATTGTTTATAAAAAAAAATCAGAAAAGGATCTTATATTAATTTTAACTATAAATTCTCCGTAAAAATAAAATGACTAAAAAAATGAATTGAAAACTAAAAATATTTTGTTTACAGCGATCTTATTAACCGTTTCATATTACGTCTTTATTTAATCTAATAATGCGTTTGTTATTTTACATGTTATCATGTGTCAATGCAATTCAAGATTATAAAATTTATTTCGTTGTAATTATTTAAGTTTTTAAATTTTTGCGATAGCTGTTGCCACAGTCAACTTAAAAATCTTAATCAAATAAAAAATGTCACTATATATTGTCACAAGACTAATGCTCGTCTTAAAAGTGTACCTTTAAGATGTTGGGAACAGTTAGCCACTTTCTCCAAGTGTCGTCACCTCCTCCGGCCGCGGTAATTCCTCTGTTGCTTACGAAGAGTGCTATGAAACACCTTGCGAAAACGGCAGCTCCAGATGTAAGGGAATCGCCCAGCGTGCCAATTAATTGGATATCACCCGGTTTTAATTTGTTTACCGAAGTTGGTGGCGTTTTTGATCGACCAACTGAAATGTATCAATCATGTAGCGTTTCACAAGAAATACATAGTGTATTTCTCTTCTATATATTGCATCACTAATAGTACATAACATTTTATTTAATTAATTTCGATATATGTTATTTTAAAATAATTAACTATTAAGACAAAAGCACATTTTTAGTTAATTTAAAAAAAGAAAGAGAAAAAAGGAAGAAAAAGTGAATCGTGATTTAATCGATCAAGAAATCTTAAGATATAAAGTTATAAAAATATTTTTTTAGAATTCAAGTCCAAATTCAAGCCCGATGTTTTCTAGTTTACGCTTTTTTAAGGAGATATAAAGAGTATTCAAAAAAATGAATCTCAAATTTGAAATTATTTAAGCATTTAATATCGTATCAAGTAAAATTTGTGCCCTATGTACATTTAGTTTCAAAAGAAAATTTAATTTTTCTTACAAATTAATTTTTATATTTGGTATCATAAAGATATATTGTAATTATAAAAAAATACAAATTTTTGCTATTTGTTTTAAGCCTTCATTTAGAGAAGAAAAAATTCTTCAGACCAAATTGACATCAAATTTTGAAATATTTAATGAAAATGTTATTTTTATAACAAACAATATAACAATAATAATGGCTGAAGGATAAAAATAATTATGCACACAAGTGATGCTTTGAATAATTGTTGATAAATAAAAATACTAATAAATGTCTTACTTGAAACATTGCAAGGAAATGGGACATTCTCAGGAACGGGTTCCTGCGTTGTTCCTGGCGGTGGCCCTAGCCATTCTTCCCATGGTCCTACAAGATTAAATCATACATATTACAATTTATTATAAAAATAATATAATTTTAAATAAAAATAGATAATAAAAAAATAAGGATTGTACATAAATATATAACAAGAATAAAACAAATAATTATTTATTAATAAAGTAAATTAATTATTTGATAAAACAAATAAATCTGTTATTATTAAATAATGATAAAATACGGAATAATGCGCGCTTCTCTAAATGTAATTCGATACGTGCGTCGAATTATTGATCAGGACAATGAATTATGCAAAACAGTCACAGAGTAGGAAGCTTCTTACAAAGACGCGAGTTACATTCATTTATTTCGCATGTCGGAAAGAAACTACTTTCTTTAAATTACGTTAAAGAATATATATGTATTTTCTTATTAAAATTAAAGCATATATAATCAATAATAAATCATGATTTATGTTAAATTAAAAAAAAGTGCGATAGGTAGTAAATAGCACAAAGAAATAAAGAAAACAAAAATTCTAAAATTAATCAAGTTTACTAATAAAGGCGATATTTAAATTACTTTAAAGTTTTTATAATTCATGCTATTCATTAAGCTTATTGACTGAAAGTACTATAGTATCTTTCGATTGAACTAGATATTCCAATTAGTATCTATTCAAAAATTTCTCAAAGTTTTCAAAACTCCAGTTGAATGAGTTGTACATATCAAAAATGTTATAAATATTAAAATATTTTTATATCATCAGAACTCTTATCATACATACAACTTATTAACATAAAATTAAAATTAAAATAACATTGAATTATACCAATCAAATTGGTATGACTGAAAACATTATCAGAAATGAATAAATTTTATAACCAGTTCACGATTGTATAACATGATACACAAAGTCATAAATGTATAATCGTCGAATATTGGGAATTGGAATATTATTAAAAAGAAAGAAATTTTATAACTTCACGATTTGATAATATTGCACATGTGACTATAAATATTCATCGAATACAAAGAAATTTGACATGAGTAAATTTTATAACTAGTTTACGATTTGATATTTTTCACATAATGTTGTAAATGTATATCCATCAAATTTGATTGATTTAGTATCTAAAAATTATCAAAAAAAAATATATTTTATAATTAATTCATTTTTTTATAATTTTATAATTTTGTACATGAAATCGTTATTATATGTCCATCGAATGCGATCGAGTTACAATTGAAAAATGAATAAATTTTATAATTAGTTTATGATTTTATAATTATGCGAAATCGTAAATATTTATCGAATAAATTAGAATCGAAAGATTATCAAAAACGAGCAAATTTTATTTATTTAACTGACAATTTTTATAATTTTGTACATAAATCCTATATCTATTTATCGAATTAGAATAGACATTTAATGAGATTCACACATGAGAAAGTTTCAGAAATATATAAAAATATATAAAATTTATATTCTCTAAACAAATGACAAATTTGAAAATCGTAAATGCACAGACTTGCACAAATTATTGTTAATGTAAAATTGAATTAAAAATACTAAATATTAAATGTTTTGAATATTTTTACTTGAAAGTAATGCTGAATAAAATATATCTATTATATCGAAATAAAAATTGATATGCAAATTTCAGAACGACTAAATTTTAGTGATAAATCTATATTCTTTTAAAGTGTATTCTTTAAAAACTTCGAAGAAAAGTAACATGAGCTTTTTTTCATAATCTCTTATAAGCTACACATACAGACCATAATAGTCCTCAACCCAATGACGGAGGCCGGCAAAATTCATATCGTTAAAAGGAGTATCTAAAGCAGTCTTAACGGGCTGACATGACACTCTCCAATATAATTGCAGTAGCAGGATACAGTAGAGCCACTTTGACATTGTCTTGTGGGATGATAGAACCGATGAGGAGAAAATTGAAATTTTAAGACGCATCAATCCCTGAACTGTTTGGTATTGTACTGCCCGAAATCGAAGTACCAAATGACCCATCGCACAGCCCAACTTGCAAAGAAAACTCAAATGCGGTACAAAAATCGCAACCTTGATCAAAAACAAGGTCATCCCATTTTATGCCCCATTATGGGAAATAATAAATCGTGATTGCTTTACAATGGTAGGAAACAGCACGATGAAGGCAAATATCTTATCTTTTTTACTATCCTGCTTTTTATATTACTATTTTAATACTCTTAAAAAAATGTAAAAAATGTAAAAAAATGTAAAATAGTTTATGTCGTTTGATATTATGTCCTTCGATCTAATCATTTAATAATCGTGTATTAAGTCACGCCGATCATATATTCATACAATAAATATTTTATTACTTGAAGATAAATATACCTATAAATTTAAAAAAAGAGAATTGAAATTTGCATTTTTATTCTTCGAGAAATGAGAACAAAACAAAAACAATAGGATTATACACACATTACGACTTTGAATCTTAAATGCATCTAATTCTATTCATTTAGCAACATCAGTGGAAACAATGATCTAGTGATCTGATAATGATGAAAAAAAAGTTGAAAAATGATATATTTTATTAGGATTGCGATTCTCCATCCGCATATTTATTGAATCACGTATTGTTACATGTATGTAGTGTTATATGTACTGATTTTATTAAAAAGGACATAAAAATAGACATAAAATTAACTATAAAAATAAGTTAAACACAAAAAAGAAGTTTTAACATAAAATAAAATAAAAAATAAAATATTAAATTATTTAAATTTAAATTTAAATAAGTAAAAAAATAATATGTATAAGTAAAAATTAAATTATAAAAATTAAATATGAAAAAAGATTGAAATTATTATACTAATAATATTTTCCTATTATTATTATTAATTAGTAAATAATAAATCATAATTTTGTTGTTATATTTTATTTTATGTATGGGTGTGCGTGTACGTGTATGCGAAAAATAAATATATAGATTATAAATTTAACAAGAATTAAATTTAAACTCTTTTTCATTCTTTCCCTAGCATTTATTTGTAAAAAATTTATTCAAGTTTGTTTTTTTTATTGATCAATTCAGTTAGTTCTTACATTATCAAATTATTTTTTAATCGAATGATTATATTGAATCGGATGATTTTGAATGATTCAAACAAAGTGTGTGTCAGTTATCTTCTGCTGCATTTCTTCTGTACATGTATAAGTCGTTTATGAAACATGCCGCAAGATTGCGACAGTCACAAAACTGTTGATAATATCGATATTACAATATATACATATATACATATGTATACTGTATTATATTATTATACGACAAGAAAATTGTGGCTGATCATAACAGAAGTTCGACTACTGTTTTTAACAGCGCCTATTTTACCATCAGATGTTTTGGATTTTTAAAACATTTAAAATGATGATAACGATGGAAAAACGGTTCTGAACATCAATAAATATATACTTGACAAAATATATTTATATAGTGCTATTTTAATTACGATTTATATTTATTATCGTATTTATTTACAATTATGACAAGTATGATGAGTATGATAAGTATGATGATAACAAAATACTTAAATCATATTTAATACAAAACAATATATTGCGGGATATTTAAAAAATTAATAAATCAATTTAGAAATGTTTTGAAAAATATGTGAGAAATACAATCAATATATATAATTATTTAATAAGATTTATTGTTATATTTCTCTAATGTGAATATTTATAAGTGGATAATGCAAGTGAATTTAATAAGATTTATAATTTTACTAATTGTATTCTTACGTATAAAGAATATTTAATTATTGTAATTATTTTCTTTTAAAATTTTTTCATCAAATTATAATTTTATATAAAAAATTATGTTAAGTTTAAATTTTGCATCTATTATAGACAAAATATTACACATGAAAAATAAATAACCCTACGTGTTATCATTAGTATTTCTATGATATCTTGAAGCAAAGAAAGCAAAAATACATTTATATACATATTCTATTAAGCGATAACTTTCGATTTTTACGTTTTCTTTTTGTAATGCCTTGCTGATAACATTTAATATGAAATTTTTAATAATAATGCCACATTTATTTATATCCTTAAGGCTTGATTGATAAAAAATCATTTTGTATATTTTTAATGGTTCGCAGCTGGAATACAAGAAAATTCGTGCCGGTTTGAACAAGACAAGCGAAATATGCCGACAAAGGATTAATGCATCTCTCGCACAGTCTCTATCGAAATTCTTCTTCCTGCGCAGTACCCGAATTCTCACAGTCAGCCGAGGATGCTTTAAGGATGAGAGAGACATGCTTCAACATTTAGGAGACTTCTATTTTCAGCAGCGCCTTTTGTCGGGCATCGATCGTGGGTTTTTTCCATGTAGGTAAAACATGTATATATAAGGAGTTGAAACCGAAGGATCTGAAAAGAGAACAAGATAGAGAACGAGAGAAAGGGGAAAAGGGAAAGCAGAGAATCTTTCTCAGGGAAGGCTGGTAAAAGATGAGGATTTGTCAGAGGTCAAGGTTGAAACGAATGAGTTCTTCCTCTTTTTGCTTTTCCTCTCGTTATCTCTCTCCCCCTCTTTCTCCTTTCCCCTCTTCCTTCTCGTCTCTCCCTCTTCCCCCCCTCTCTCTTTCAATCCCATCTTTCTTTTTTACTTTCTTCGCAATTTTTTCTTTTTTCTCTGAATTGTCGAGAACATAAATTTCCAGGAAAAGAAAGAGAGAGAGAGAGAGAGAGAGAGAGAGAGAGAGAGAGAGAGAGAGAGTGAGAAAGAGGATTATTCAAATTGATCTAGTTATAGCGTAAAGGAATCAAATCAATTGAAAAACAACAATTTCATTTTTATTAACAATTTCTTTTGTTAGGAATTTTCTTTCTGTAATCATTTTTCAGTAGCATTATAATAAATCATACCTATTGAGATTATATAAAGAAACGATCGTAATCAAAGACCACCCAAGTCGAAGTTCTCTCCGGCTTATCTTCTCGAAATTCTATTCCACAGATAATGAATTAGTGTTATCAACACTTGATATACAATGGTAGAGTAGAGCTCTTATAATTTCAACTCTCGAAATTTAACAGTCTTATAAGATCATTCTTTATATAAAAGATTATATATTTATATATAAAATCATTGTGTCTTGATTTTATTAAAATTTCTTCTGACAAATTTTTAAAGCAGCTTACAGTTTAACGCAATATATAATAAAACAATGCGAATACATATACCAAAATATATATTATTAACAATATTATATATATGATTAGAGTAAAGATATTAATTTAATAAGTTTAAAATTTTTGTTACCCATAAATTATATGTAATTCTATTTAAAAAATTGCGAATGAATGACAGATATCTCACTTTATTGATATGTAAATCTACAATTTTACTTTTCAAATTTCTTATTGTTAAAGAAGTAATCATAATAACAAAACGTATTGTTTGGATTTGTATAGTTTGGACAAAAATGAAAAAGATATAATGTTATTCTTTACGTTGCATTCTACAATAATACTATCTAATGCAATCTATTTTATTCAGATGCAAAATTCCTGCATATGCAGAATACGCGTAAAAGTCATGTGTCAGTTGAATTATATAATGTTACGTCTGTCCGTCAAAATGTGTAGCTAAACGAAATATGATTCGTTGTACACGAATCGTATAACGCAATCTTATGAGAAAATTATCCACACGTGTGGTTCATATGATAGATAATGACAGACGTTTCTATATAATGATAGACTAATTGTTATAGATGTAATATAACTGTTGCAACATTACTTGATTATTGATGACGTCGCTGAAATCTCCTGCAAATATATAAGTGTGATTTAAAAGTGTGCTACATATAAGATAAGATAATAATTTATATTCGTGGAATTTATGACTATAAAAATGATTATTTATTAATGATAGTAGGAAGCATGATTTGCAAAGCAGACATTGTATTGTAACAAAAAATCATGAAAGATGACGATTTTTTAGATTTTTTGTTGTCGAAGATTTCTCGAGATCTCTGTCGACCACTGATATCGGTAGGTCAAGATCGAGTTCATTCAGAATCACAGAAATATCTCCTATAAATAATAAATAACTAGAACGCATTATTATCGAAGAATTACATATATCTTTAAAGCTGGTAATAATAATAACAAAACCATTGAGATTTTTTAACCTGTATATCACCCTTAACTTGCCAAAGGATTGCAGAATTAAACATGAATTGAGGAAACAATATTTGTTGAGCGAGAAACGCGCAGCTTATCGCGTGGATTTTTCGCCCGTTCTCGATGTTTTGCTGACCTTTGTTCGCAAAGATTTGCAATATTATAAATAATTAACGCAGCTTTCGAATTAGCGAACTAACAATAAGAGTGAAAGATTCAATATAAAATGCAATACATTCATAGCTAAGCTATGTATTATTTTAACAACATAGAGCACTACATATAAAAAGATGATATGAAAAATTTGTGTCAAAAAGATTCAATTCATAAATGCCTTTCATTATTGCATGCAAATAATAATACAATAATAACGCAATAATGATAAACCTATAGAACTATAATAATACAAAAATAAATGTGATTAAATATAAAGATCAAGCTAAAGTTCACGCGTTAAAGAATTTTTTTGCTTTATCATAAATATGCTTATTTCTTTTTTTTTATGTCTTAACATGCTAAGAGAACTAATTAAAATGTAAATCTTTTTTTACTATTTTATAAGAGACATCAATAGAAATCCGATTAGCTTCGAGATATTTAAAACTTTAGTATATTCATTGATCGTACATTCTTGTAACAATGAGTACAAAGGATTACTTTCTTCGCTATTTGACTCTGATATATCCAAGTACGATGAATGTGGTGAAAATCACATTAATTAGACATTTACTGATTTATACGCGCGGTACGCGTGTCGGTTCAATGAACCTGCGAACGATATTGATCTAATTCCAAGAGACGCCTAAACGCGCAATCCCTGCGCACGTCAATGTAATATAAATGAAATTTACGATCTCGAACAAGATAAAAGATATTTAGATTCTGAATAATAAGTAAACATTCGTTACGGTAGTATAAATGCGCAAATGCTTATCTCCGGAAGTTCCAGCTTTTGATATTATCAAAGCATAAATTGTTATCAGATTTACTATTCAACTTTGTTTCATCAGATTTTCAAGCAGTAAGATTTTATAAAATTTATAATATAATTGTAATCGATATTGACATATTTAAATTATATTATTAGAATTCTTTCTTCTTCGCTTTTCCTTTCTAATGATCAGTATTAGTAATAAAAGATTAATCATTGATATTACCAGCAATAAAAGATTAATCATTGATATTACTGGCAATGAAAGATTAGTCATTGATGTCATTGAGAAATTTTTGTTTTCAATTAAAGTAATTACTCATATAGAGAAAAAGAGAAAGTGAGAGAAAAGAAACGATTAAATAAAATAATTTGAATGCTTTAATGCCGATAATTTTATATATATATATATATATATATATATATATATATATAATATGTGTGTGTGTGTATGTATTAATGTTATCGCATGGATTGTGATATTTTTCCTACATTCATATTTATTATATGCATATCTTTTGTCATAAATATTTATGAAAGTAAAAAAAATTATATTTTAATTTTAGTATTTTTAAAATCTATATACTACATCTACTCTACATTTACAAATCTACATTTTTAAAAATGTGTACACATTGGCATATTTCCTGAAGTTTAAAAGCATATTAAAAAATATTCAGATAAACAAATATGAATTTGTGAGATAAATACGTACATGTACGTAACTCTTAGACTAAGTGTTTCAGTGATTGCTACCTGGCTATATCAATTATCGCTGATACAGATTATACCGTATTCTCTCATATCTTTCATAATCTTAATCTATTATACTTAACATATTATACAAGACGATGAGCATTTGTTTTTGACATTATGCTACGTAACATTTCTGTTAATTATGTCTTGCGCACTTCATCTTTATATAACGAAATTAATTTTCTTAAAGTTTATAAATAATTATAAATATCACTGAAAGAATGCTATTAAAAAAATAATATAGCCATACATTAAATATCCAAGGAATTCCAAACTTTTTTTATAGTGTAAATTCTTTATTATAAAAAGGATAAAAAATTTGTAAAAGAAAATAAAACTATATAACTATATAACACAATTAAACATTCTTCTCTTGATGATGTCTTATTTTTCAAATGCCAAAAATTACATTTTAAGTTAAAAAGAAATAATTTTTAACTTTAGCACACAGAGAGAGAGAGAGAGGGAGATTACACTCGCGCATTTTTATCAACTATTAAATATCACCACTGATTTATGTTGACTTGCTTTCAATGGTTTTAGAATAATATGCCAATCGCTAAAAAAAGTTATCTGAAAGCAAAAAAGTAAAAATTGCATGTGACATCATAAAGCAAGTGAGTCACTGTTGATGAATTAGATTACGATTGTGATCTTATGTTATTTGCGAAAAAGAATTTAATCATTTCGTCAATCTGCGATTATGGTTCTTCAAAGATTAATTTGAAAACCGAGATATAATGATATTACATAGGGAATGCAATAATTTTTATAACATTGTGTATGTTATTAATCTTTGCATTCATTTTATGAGAATAACAACAAAGAAGAAGTTGCAAAACAGATCCAATAAAGAGCGAACATACGTATACATATTTTTCCATAACATTTCATCGACAAATAACATGCGGTCCTTTCTTTTATTCTCTGTTAAATTTTTAAAGTTATTCAAAAATTATCATGAATCGCTCATTAATTTATTACATAATTGGGGTATCATGTGTAAATGAAGAAAACTGTTTTTCTTATTTCAATTTTTTTCTATTTAACCGTCTATTTCGGCAAAAAATAATGTACGCAGATTGATCAATCGTACAAAGAATATTTGTAAGATTCAAACCTAATTTGAATCAATCCATTTATCTTTAAATTTTTTAAATACAAGCGTACACATAAAATCCATATGAAATTATTTCAAAATGGCTGTAATATCAATGATTCAAACATTTGAGGAAATTTGTAATTGATTGAGAACTCAAATTAAATATAATCGTATTTGGTTTTAGATTTCTAAAATTTAAAATTATTATTAAAAGAATAACTGTATTTATTTATATTTTCAATTGAAGAAGACTAAGTATTTTATACGAATAAATATTTTACGAATAAATCAAGTAATTGCAAAAATAAAATGACGTGATTATTGATTACAACGACATTATTGATTAAATTATTATGAGTGCTTTATAAATATTTCTAGATTGGTGTTTGCAAAAGTATGATATTTTTTATACAATCTGCATGATAATAAAGAAAATCTCATCCTGGAAAAAATTGTAATGATCTATATCATTTAATTAAATTCGCGCAAATAAAATTGCAATAAAATGCTAATCAAGTAATTGTATTTACATACAATTAGCGAGCTGTTTAAGTTCGACGACATCATTTCCAAATATATATGTCGATGTTGTATATTAGATACAAGGTGATAATCACTATCGCTAATATAAGTTCCAGTTAACCGCGCAATCATTTCACTTTTAATAACATGATTTGTGAAATCATATCCAAGTAAAGCATAACATGAATGATTGGCAATTTTGATTTAAAAGTAATGTGTAACAACAAAGAGGCAATCTTGACTGCGATTGCAACACTTTGTGCGTATATTAATAATTGAATATTGAGCAGAATGCACTTCTCTTAAATGAAAATACGTTAGTCAAATAAATAATGTTTATTATATGCGAGAGAAAAGAAGAATCAAAAATAAAGTTAGAATCAATTTAAGTTCGAAAATAGTTAAATTTAAACTCCCAACTTTAGTTTTAGCATTTTTACTTTTGCAAATTTAAATTGTCCATAAATCTTTTACTCTGTAAATGCTTACGTATGCATAGACTTTTTACAGTTTTTATAATTTTAAGTTTTTTTGTATCCTGTGTATATCTCTGTCTCTTTCCTTCTTTATTCCTTTGATTCTTTTAATTTAAGAATTTTCAATTTGAGATTATTTAATATTCTAGATTTTTAGATTTTCAAAATCGTTTCATTGAAAATACATGCATATATCTCTAGGACAAATCAAATTTCGAAAATGAGAAACTTACTTTAATAAAAAAAATTTCTGTTTATTCATCTCTATTTCACTTCGAAAGATTATGAGGCAAAATTTGTAATTTGTTATAAAATTGATATGTCACCCTATCATCTCGTTACATTGCGGCTATCAACTTCATCCCCTTCCAAGATTTTCTCGATTTACCGCCGAGTGATATAAAAGTGTGACTTGTTTGCTCGCATTCGCAGTACAATTTCGAAAAGTGACGATATAATATTGTCTCATCAAGCTTGATTTCGGTTTTGTTTTCCGCGATTGCGACTCAGATTTCTATCGGGAAAATATAATAGTGATCATTTAAAATCAAAATTCGACGTTTACGTAGTGATAATTATAGCACGCGAAAATAAAATCACGCACTGATAAACTCTCGATTAGCATTATCGGTAAGGATACACTGAGGTCTTTATTCATGTTACATACTATGTATCTTGAATGTTAAGAATGTAATTTATATATTAAATGTATCTTACTAAGTTATAAGTAATAATTATATGTAAGTATAATAAAATTCCGGTTTAAACAATTATACTTACAATTAGTGTTGATGACAGGGACCATTTTCTTTTCGTAATTCACAGATCGCGCGACATGATGCAATGTTAAAAGCTCCAAATGTAAAGTATGACTGAGCAAATTGTGATATATTCGTCATGAAGATCATAGTGTCACATTGATAGTCCAGTACCAACGTTAATGCATTATGATAAGTTACAAATTTATCATCGTGTCACTTTAAGGCTATCGTTAGATATTTTCAATCTCGGTCAAAAGTTTAAATTACAATTTAAGTAATCTAAATTAAATCAGTAAACTTTAAAACAGAATTATCTTTAATTTTCTCTGCTTGAAGGATTAAAAAAAATTATCAAAATTCGAATTAATTAATTATATCGGATGATATGTCAATTTTACAGCAAAAATGTCATTAGAATCTTACATTTTAATGTTATTTATTAACATTCTTGAAATGTTACTCGCTGAAATATTTTTTGTTATAATACAAAAATTATTCGATCTAACTTATAGTTATAAAGATATGGACATCATATAGATCTTCATAAAAATTTTATTTTTGAACATGATTTTAATTTCACAACTATGCTAACTAATTTTTAATGATTCAGCATCATACAAAAAAAATTACAATAAAAAAGATTAATAAAAATTTTCGCGAGAATCGTGTTGGCAAATCAATATACATATGTTATTGACAAATGTTATCATATAAAATGTTTATCACAAAATACACGATAGACATTTTCCTACAGTTGTGCATAACATGTCATGGAAATTTTACCGCGTATTTTATGTAAATTATTTGATTACCATCAGAAAAGTTTTTTCAGCAATATCTGCGAACTTAAAAGAATAATTATAATTATAATTATAAAATATAAATTATAAAATATAATGTAAAATATACCATACATAATTAATTGATCCAAAGATCAATTGTAATTATGTAAATTTACATTTGCAAGTCTTATGAATTCCTATTATTTCTTAGTATTATTATTTTGCAAATGCGAATAATATATTTTATTTATAGTATTCCTTTATTTATCTATTCCTTTTCTATATTCATTTATTCATAATATTCTAGTCATATGATAATATAATGCGATAAAATATTTAAAATGATCAATATATAAAGAATATAATTCGGTGAATATTCGTACTTATTCCAGCACGCTGATGTACGCACAGTGAGAAAGTAAATTACCGCACGTCCATCGATTCTCGAACGATAATTAATTTATCGGCGCAGAAAGTCTGTCCGATAAATACGAGCCGGTTTGATTAATCTCGCATGAACGCTCGCACAATTATCTTGTATAAAGTACAGTTATCTATCTTCCGCAAAATAGCAACCTCGAGCACGTGGACGACGAAGCGGAGCAGCCACGAGGCCGGGCGACGACACGAGAGCCACGCAGATTCAGCGAGCTTCCGAGCGACTCGAATTCCGCGCCGATTTGACAGGTATGTCACGTGACCGCCGGACCGGCTGATCGCGCAGCCAGGCGCGCCGAGATTATAAATAGCGGGCGACAACGCGTGGGGAGCCTCTTTCACTTCCCGCTACGCGCCGCGGCGCGTTCGTCCATTCGCTCGTTCCCGATCATTACGCGGTGTGCCGTGTGCTTGTGTAGAACCGAGGTACGTTCGACCCGTTCCCGCTCCCTATCTCGAGCACGCTGTCGAATTCGCTCGCGTCCACCCCGAAAACAGAGAGAACCCTCGATCGAAGCCCGCGATCGTCTCGAACGAAGCAGCCGATCGCGACACGATTTCTGCAACGACCGATAATTCCGTAGGACGGAGGTCGAGTAAAACGGCGACGAGGAGGCACGTGGAGGGAACTCGGTAGAAGCGGACCAAACGACAGAGAAACTCGGCGGCCGTGCTCTGCGCGGGATTCTCTCGTTCTCTCATTCTCTGTCGAGTGGCGAGGGTCGGCTACGACGCGACGACGACAACGACGGCGACAACCCCGAAACGCAGGAAAATGCCGGAGACCGCGCATCACATGAACGGTTACGCGAATGGCCACGCGCCGCCCGAGCTACAGCAGGACACCACTTTCCTGTTCACGTCGGAGTCGGTCGGCGAGGGACACCCAGGTGAGACCCAGGCGAAGCCCCGCGCCTTACCTTACCGCGGCCAACCCCTTTCCCGGGGGTCCCAGCGAGTTAGTGACCCTGCACTATATATCGGTCAAAGCTTTTTCGATTTCTTCCCGTCCCTCTCTCTCTCTCGCTCTCTCTCTCTTTCTCCTTATCTTTCTCTTTCTCTCTGAACCCCGCAGCTACCACCGCGTACATAATGCCGCCATAGAAGAGATCACCTTCGCAACGCGCGTGTGTATGGCTGCGTCCCGCGTTCTCTCCCTATATAGCACATGTATACGTCCTACCCTCTCGTTCGCGCTTAACGATCTCTTTACGCTAATCGCGATTATTCGATTGACTCTTCTCCATCTTTCCATTCTGGCCTTCGGCCAAGTAACGTTGATCTTTCTCCTCGGCCGTGATGGACGGCCGGGGTTATGTTCTAGAAAAAGGCAGTCGGTCCCTCTCGCGTGCGCGCGCGCGCGACCGGTAGCCGAGCAAAGTGGAATCGCGAGGCGATCGTTTCGCTTTTTCCATTCAGGTTCCGTTCGCTTTGTTCGCTGAATAATTGTCGCAGCCCGCGAATTCCCCTCGCCGCCGAAATCGGCGATTTCGCGCGCGCGCGAAAGCGCTCGCGAGCCGAGAGGCACATTGTTGGCCGCGAACGTTGGTCGCCATGTGCTCGCTCCGATCGCAGCGCGATCAACGCCAGTGGTTCGAGTAACGTAATCGGCCGAAGATAGACGCCGGCTGCGCCGAACGTCTATCTGCTGATTACGCTCAAAACCTGACGCGAAGGTATCTGTCTTTTGTTCGCCCGTGCTTCCTTTTTCTCATCTTTTTTCGAGGACTACTCCAAAATGATCTTGCTTTTTTTCCCTCAGAAAAAAATGCGAAAGACACTTGACAGTAACTGTATCGAGGCGTTCTATTGTCGTTTTCACGAGATTGTTTAAGGGGAGCACGTGTTACGATTTCCCGTGGGAGATAGTTTTTTGTTAAAATCAATTTGAGAGGCGAATCCTGCGAGACTAACGTCAATCACGATTTTCAAACATGAATGAATCACTCGTTCGTATCTCTCTTATCGATGATTATATTACGCATTTATACATATATGCTTATAAAACATATCTTACAGAAAGTACCTTGACAGCTGACAGAAAAATTGCACGGTATTTTATACCGTTAAACCATCGTTATGTTCAAACCATCGAAATTCTAAATTTGCTTCTTGATCACAAAAAATTTATGATTAACTGGCGATTATTGCTCTTTATTTTTTTCCTTTTTTTTACTTTGCATTTTTTTCTAAAATTTTTTCGTAATTATAATTTATCGCTGAGAACGATAGATATTATATCTATAGGCTTAGCGATTATGTATACTTATTTACATTAGTTTTCTTAGAATATGACGTCAGAAATAAGGAAAAATATGTTGAAGAAAAAATGATTATTTTTTCATTTCTGACATTTTATTACAAGAAAGCTAGTGTAAATAAATATATATTACATCAAGTCGTAAAATTTAAAAATAATGCAATTTCATGTGAAACTAATATAAAGTTACAGCATTTATTTTATACAGCAGAAACGTTTTTACTTATAACTTATAACTTTATACATGTATGTATGAACGTTTATGTTTATTACAAAGAATATGTAAAAATTACTGTCGCATAAATTTCCGACATACAATTCGAGATGCCTATCGTAAACGTTTTTATGGTAATTTAAAAAAAGATCTTGAAATTTGCTTAGCAATATCCATTTATTTCTGTACTTATAATTTTAAATGCAAATTGTCTTGCAAATTATCTGAAAAATCTTAATTTAGTCATATTTTCTGTACTTTTGATTTAACTTGACTATATTTCGATATTCTTCAATAAATTATTGTTTTGTAATTTGATATACTCATATATTGCTAATTATCTCTACGTTCGCTATAACTCTCTTATCCTTACTACATCACGGCTCTAATTATAACAAAGATAAAGAAAGAAAGTTCAGCATGAGTCTCTCGAGCGATTTAGGTTAACTAATTTCAGATTAGCGCAAGATTCATTTTCTTAAATTATAATTATATATATAATATAATTATAATTTATATATATAATACAGTAACAAAATTATCGTTGCATCATTATTTTTTTATACAATAAGTTTATTTAAATTATTTATATTATATGAGTACATAAAAAATTAAAAGTAATTTACTAATTTATTATTTATTTATTTTTTTTCCATTATTTAATTTTTATTTATAATAATGAATAATAATCTATCCTTTGTTAAAATTGAAATCTTATCTAATTGTAAGATTTAAATAAAGACTTATGGATCGAAATTAAAAATTAACAATTTTTAAAATATAATTTAAAAATAATTGCTGAATAATTTTCACGCTTTTATTATCATATTTTACAAACATGTCTTATATTATATTTTAGACAAAATGTGCGATCAAATAAGCGATGCCATTTTGGATGCACACCTGAAGCAAGATCCCGATGCTAAAGTAGCATGTGGTAAGTTCAACTAACAATAAGCACCGCAAATTTCTTCAAGCACTTGAACATATATTTATATTAGCATCTCTATTTATAAATAGTTTAGTCAACCCTGAACTAGTTTCAAGCCGGAACTAACGATTGTTGCATTTATTGCTTTGCATTTACATTATTAAAATAAGTAATTAAATTAATTGTTGTAAGATTTTGAAAGAGAGAAAATATTGATTAAAAAATAAGAAGCAATTTTCCAAAATATAATCGCCTTAACGTGGATTTTATGATTTTCTTCAAATCGTTTCTCTCTCTAGTAAAATATAATATTAAAATATAATATTGTACATTATTTTTGCAGTAAATATAATTCTGTTACATAAATACATAGTATATTACACAGATATATCGAACATGTGCGTTAACGAATTTTTTTATTTTTACAGAAACTGTAACAAAGACCGGGATGATACTTTTGTGCGGAGAAATTACATCAAAAGCTGTAGTAGATTATCAAAAAATCGTTCGAGACACAGTAAAGCACATTGGTTACGACGATTCTTCAAAAGGTATAATAATTGCTAATTTACATTACGTATGTACCCGTAATTTCGATAATGCACGTATGGCACTTCCTTCGATTGCCTCTGACACTTTGTTGGATATTAATTATGTATGTTGCGCGTGAAATATTAGAACTCCTACACTCACGAGAAATCAACATTTATCATTTAACAGTAACACATGCATGCTCTGTGGCTGAATATAGCCAGCTCCCTCGTCCTTATTAAAGTTCGTCTCATATGAGTCTCTTTCATCAAACGTTATACAAATACACGATCGAACTGTGGTACAAGAGATTTAAGCGCCAAACATCACTTACGATTTTTGCACAAACGTAATAATTTTTGCACAGTATTTTGAATTATATTGATAATATTGATATGAAAATAAAAGTTTTAATTTGTATATCTCATTTTTATATTTTATACGTATTGAGATGTTTGACTTGGATTTCATGCCTCGATCGATCGATAATTCGTATATCCTGCTCATTATCTTTCGGAAAAAAAGATCACGTAAAGAAAATGCGTAAAGACTGTGTAACGTAAGAATATCGTGGCAGGATTCGATTGGCGTACGTTGAACCTTTTGGTGGCGATCGAACAACAATCCTCAAATATCGCGGATGGTGTCCATACGGACAGGCAAGAGATGGACGTGGGTGCAGGTGATCAGGTACATAACTCATTCTCAGTCCGTGCCGCAGAACAGCCAAAAAATGACATGTCAATGATCTTCCTTGTTCCTGCTTTTTGAATCTTTCCCATCCCGTTTTCCTCGAAAGTTTAGACGCGTTTTAAAAATTTGTTTGCTATTCTATGTGACAGAGCGTGTATATTATATCTTTGTATGTATATGTATGTGAACATATGTGCAGGTAAAAATGCAAGTACCTGTGCAAGTATCTAAACGAATGTGTGTAGGATATCGTTATCGTAAAATTAAATATTAAAAAAGATTATACACAATACTAAGAAATGTTTAAAGACAGAAATAGATAACAAAGCACTAGGATATGTGTTTCCAACAAAGTGCCGATATTAATGCCTAGAAAATAAGTGTGCATGTACTATGTTCGGATCAAGTATAAAAAATGCGCAAGTATAAAAAAAAATTGCATGTATGTATGTATATAAATGTTTAAAATAATCTATGTAAAAATATGGTGCAAGATATGCGAAATTTTCCTCAAAATTTTCCTCAAATGTATTTAATATTCTCAATATTCAAATAGTACATATATATCATATCATATCTGAACTTGTACATGCAAAAAACAGTTCATTAGTTTTAATGAAGCCAGGATTATATTAGGATCGACGTGGCCTAACAAGAATCCCGAGATGCATCGAGATGGAACGGCGGAATCATGAAAAGTGATGTAAAAAGGAGAACCTAACGTAGAAAAAGGATGCTGATGCGTTAAACAATAGCGAATAATTTTTCTTACTGCACTGTAATGATTCTGCAGGTTTTGACTACAAGCTGTGCAATGTTCTGTTGGCGCTCGATGCTCAATCACCAAATATTGCGGCAGGCGTTCATGAAAACCGTAGCGACGAGGAAGTGGGAGCAGGAGATCAGGTCAATTAGCATTCCCATCATTAAACTTTTTCTCTCTTCTTCTTTTATCTCCTGTTTCCTCTCTGATTGTTCTCCTGCGTGCTACTAAGTATATTTTTTTAGTAGCTATACAAGTAACATTTATTTATTACTTCACCTTCTTTATTTCACTTATCACAATCCACTAGACTTTATTTCACTGTAGAAATGGAACTAGTAATTGACATATTAAATGTCCCTCACATATTTACTGCGTTATCACCATAGTTACATTTGTGAATGCACTACAAACATGTATCTCTAACAATAAGATGTAGAAAGCGTGCAAAATTGGATGAATGTATGAGATATGTATACATGTATGTAACATTTGTATGCAAAAGTTTTTATGTGGATTTAGAGATATGTTTTATCATTGTAGATCCATTCTAGATCCATTCATTGTAGATAACATTCTCAGTAGAATAATTATGACTTGATATGATCTCAACTTTAGTTTAAATAGTATAACACATTAAAACGAAAAGATTCCATCTCATAACTGTAAGATCACAATCTTCATTGTAATCTGGATTCATTAGATAGTATGTGTAATTATTAAGCTAGATCTTATAGTTATGTAGATAACAATTGCGAATTGTAAATAGCTTGTAAACTAAACTTTAGCGCTATTATTAGTAGATTATCTTCTCTCCTCGCTGCTATATTTATTTATTATTATTGTTCTGCTCTATATGGCACTTTTTTGCATGTTAGATTTAGTTTCTTAGCCTTAAATAGCTTAATACTACATAGATATTAGTATACACAATTTATTCGTCTATGAATTTTTTTTCTATCTTAAGCTATAAACTTTCTTTTATTTTATGTGTAAAAATGTATCGTGTGCTTTGATTTTAAAAAATTTATTCACATACTTAAGATTATATGTACAATTTAGTATTTGTTTGATGCGTTTCAAGCTTATGTCTCATAAATTTTAGCTGGAATAACTCAAATTCTTCCATCAGGGTCTAATGTTTGGATACGCAACCGATGAAACCGATGAATGCATGCCACTGACGGTCGTATTGGCGCATAAATTAAATCAGAAAATTGCCGAACTAAGACGAAGCGGCGAATTATGGTGGGCTCGTCCAGATTCAAAAACACAGGTTTGATTTCTTACATTTTTTACTTCTCTTAATTCATAATCGCTGAGCCGCTTGCCGAAAAAAAGAATATTGATATGTAGTGTCATTGGCTCAAAGCAGTCATTTCCAAATTGAAAGATATAGATTCGACTTTAAATCTCTTGAGATCTTGATTTATTACAATAAGAAAAAAAAGATTTACATAAAATAATACGGTTATTCAATGATGAATTATGTATTTGCTACTCTTGAGTGCCATGATGTCAATACTTAACTGAGAATAATCCATTAAATATAAAATAATATTTTGACAATATTTTTTTCATAACATTGAATTAATATAAAGTAATTAAAAGTGTGTAATTTATATGTAACAGGTGACCTGCGAATATATCATGGATCATGGGGCTTGTGTACCTATAAGAGTTCATACTGTTGTGGTATCGCTGCAACATAGCGAAAAAATCGGTTTAGATGAGCTACGCAAAGCGATCATGGAGAAAGTCATCAAAGACGTAATACCACCGAGATATCTGGATGACAGAACAATCTTTCACGTGAATCCTTGTGGGCTGTTCATTATTGGTGGACCACAGGTATTGCAAAAGTTGCAAATTAAATATTACATAATGTAAATAATATTGATATTAATTAGTAAAATCTTAATGAAATTTACATTTTATTGCAAGAAGTTGAGAGATCGTTCTTATTAACATTTTAGAGTGACGCTGGCCTCACAGGACGAAAAATCATCGTAGACACATACGGTGGTTGGGGAGCGCACGGTGGTGGTGCATTTTCCGGTAAAGATTTTACAAAGGTGGACAGATCGGCTGCATATGCCGCAAGATGGGTTGCAAAGTCCCTGGTAAAAGCCGATCTCTGCAGGCGCTGTCTCGTACAGGTAACATTTTTGTCAATGTTAAAGTATTCTTATAGTCAAGGAAATACATAAAAATGTTTTTAATGCAAAATTCTATGTGATTAGACGATATATCTTATATATAAAAATATATATTTGAAATTATTATTAGGTCTCCTATGCCATTGGGGTGGCAGAACCATTATCAATCACAGTGTTCGATTATGGCACATCCACACGTTCCCAGAACGAGCTTTTAGATATAGTGAATAAAAACTTTGATTTACGACCGGGAAAGATTGTCAAGTATGTGCATTTATTATCTATTTACACATATTTTACATAATTACATATATTATTCGTTACATCAATATCTACCCAGGTAACAGAGTGACGTCAAATGATATCTTAATAACGTTTTAATGACGTCATTGTACGTCATTAAGACGTCTGAAGTCGTCATCTTGCTACCTGGGTATTACATAATGTGTTGTCATAAATATTGTTTTTCAATATGTCTTACATATATCATGGTGAATCGTAGGATAATTTATTGATAAGCAAAAAAATATATATATATAATATATATATATATATATATATATATATATATATAATATATAATTATATATATAATGTGTGTGTATATATACATATATACACACATACAAAAGTTTTAAATCATAATTAAAAGTATACCACTATCTTTATATAGGGAGCTGAATCTTCGCAATGCTATTTATCAACAAACCAGTACATATGGCCATTTTGGACGGGATGGTTTCACATGGGAGCAACCAAAAAAATTGATTCTCGATTGATGAGAGAATAGGCTTTAAGTTGGCTTCGGCGTTTTTCGATTAAATAGGCATCCGATAAAACGTCTGTTTCTCTATCTCTTCCTCTATCTATCTTTCTCTCTCTCTTTCTCTCAGTAATCGTGTTATATCAAATAAAAAAATGATGAACAAAAATATTGCCCGAAGCCTTTTTCGGAGATTTTTTTTTATCTCTGTGCCGCAACTATTACCGAGTCCACCGATTTCTCAATGCCAATATGTTAGCAGTAGCAAGGACTGAAGAGAAAAGGGAGGAATTCTTTTTCTAGTTCTTTTTTTTCGTGCCGTGAAGAGTATACACTTGGTATACATATTATGACGACAGACATATAGTACAAATCTCTCGTTCATAATCCGACACGCGGATATGGACAATCATTTCTTCCTTCACTTTTCGCGGAATCGGTTTTCGGGTGATACTTCTCAATAACACGGTTAAACAATCATCTAGGTACAATAAACGCATCGTGCGGGGAAAGGGGTGAATCGAATCTATTACGGAGCCCCATATTGTTGTAAGCCCATATTTCACGTCCTAATGAATTTCTTTCTTTAACGTTCAATTAGATAATTCAGTCTGGCATAACTAGAAGCAAAAAAAAAACAGTAAAAGTTATAGTGAACAAATGTAACTTCCCATCTGGAAAGAAAATGTATAAACAGGCGCTACATCGATTCGAATTTTCAGATTAAAAAAATAACTGTAATCCCATAGATTTTTAGCACGATACTGGTAGCCATTCACACGTACATGAAAGTTCGATCTTCCGATCTGATTATAATAATTTTCAAATGCACGAAAATATAAATCTCAATAAGTTTGCATTTTTTATCTTGTCTTGAGATTTAGCGCCATATATATGTATGTATAATCGATCTTTCGTGTACGTATTTTCATTAGAATTATTACCATCGTCTTAAAGCGGTAAAAATATCGGGAAATATAATTGATGACAGTGATGTGTCTAGCGTGTATGTAGCAAAGCAGGAAATGACGCTTGTGTTCGAGTCTCATGAAGTAGTCGTGACATATTATTGGATCGATCAATACATTACCGAAAAAAAAACCATTGTTAACACTTTAAGATATATATTTAAGGATCATTTCAAGAGCTAGTCTAATTAAGCTTCGTTATCGAGAAATTGAATTTCGTCGATTTATAGTGCACGCAAATATATATATATAATATAGCACAAACGTGTTTGCTTTATGAAATGTCATTTCCCTCTTTGCTATTCAATCTTATTTAAATAGAATAATTAGCGAGATATTACAAGAAAAAAAATTCAATTTTAGTAGAAATCAAGCATAGATCGTGTGACGGAGCTCGAAAATGCAGAATTTTTAATTGTTTTTGGTACCGACACAATTTAACATATTATCAAAAATTTTAATGGAAATTTTATGAGAAATAAATATAGAGAAATTGTATAAAAAAATTCAATCTCTGTCAGAGTTAATGTATGCGATATGCGACGTAAATTATATCGGCAAAAAAAAATATATATATGTAATAGTACACAAAAGATCGTATAAAAGAAAGACACGTAATAAAACAGATTTTTTAATAAAAAAACACTCATTCATTTTGTTTATATTCTCTCTCTCTCTCTCTCTACATATAACTCCTCAATCTTCCTAGTGACGCATAATTGCACCTAACGGACCAATATTGCATTTTCTGTAAACATTTTCTTAACATGAGCTCTGTTGCACAAAACACTGGCTATATATAAATCGCGTACATAGTGAACAATTTTTATATCCATTTGCACGTATTGTGTATCATTCCCCATTATTTAATGATATAACGACATGTACAAATAATTACAAAAAAAATGTAGAATATATATAATTCCCGTAATCTTATAAATTAGCCTTCATTTTATCGCGCATTTTATTACATTATAGCAATACTTTTAAAATATTATAGATACACAGCATCCAGTAAAAGAGATTTAAATAAAACATATATATATGACATATCCTCATTAGTGGAACTTATTTTCACACGTGTAATATAAAATTTCCCTTTTTATATTATAAGTATTTTATAATTAAGAATGTTTCTTTTTCTCCTATATTACTTTTATTCTTTTTCCCCTTATTACTTATATATTCTAAAATTTTGTATGTGTATATACATATGCATGTATGTATGAGTGTATATATATATATATATATAATATATATGTATGTATGTATATATATACATACACATATCCACATACAAAATTTTATAATATCCTTAAATGTATTTTTTTTAGCACAAAAATATACAGATTTAGGAAATGATCAAGATAATATATAAAGTGATATATATATATATATATATATATATATATATATATATAGGAGATAAATTCCAATAATATATATGTCTTTATATTTATACCTATATACATCAATTATGAATTATCATAAACATACATTACAAGGAGTCATATAAGATAAATTTTTTTATGCATATAAAAATTATAATTATACGAATGTAATAAATGAGATATAAGATTATAATATAATATTATATATTGCTGTCTTAAGTAGATAACTAATTATATATCAATGCATTTAATAATGTACCAAAAATGCTAAATGTCCTATAGTCCTATGGACTGTAATGTTTAATATGCTGCAATTATTTAATTTCAGATTTATTTTATATGTAATGATTTAATTGATAATATAAACAATTGTATTAGGGATTCAATCTTATAAAAGTAAAACTATGTTATTTGAATGAATATTCAAAACTTAAAATTAAGTAAGTTTATTTCAATCACCCTTGTATATGTTGCACAAAGGACAAGTCGAGTAATTGAAATATTGTGTACTTTACTTAGGTTTATATCCATATTTTTATTTAATATTGCATTCAACATTTCTTAATATTTAAAGACTTCTTGTATTCTTTAAAAGTCACAGCAGATTTAATCATCCACACTACACTATATCAATGTGCATTGAAAATTGCACTATACATTAAGTATAAGGATACAATATAAACACTTTGACAATATATATTTTGCTATTACAAATTATGACGATAATAATGGATATTTAAAATTCGTCAAAATGCTCATATCGTGTCTATTAAAATAACTTTATATATATAGCAATTTTCAGTATGCATCAGTAGTATAGTATAGATGATCAAATTCGCTAAATATTAAACTCCATATACCTTATGTATGTTCGTATTCCTCGAAGAATGTATATACAAAAATATTGTTTGGTCAAAATTCTACTCTTCAAATCGCACCATTTTCCATAGCAATTATACAAGGATGACCAAGATAAAAAAACTATGTTACATTTCCTAATATAAAATATACTTATGTAAAAATAAAAGGATTATACAACTAAACTATTGCAACGAAATAATTTCTTTGCAAATCTATTCTGGAGATTTTTTTTATTAATGCAACATTAATTATAAGTCTAATTCTAGTTGTCAGTTTCAAATAAGTATTTTTGTATCCACTGGTCATCCCAGGAAAATCATAGCAAACTGAACAACAAAAATTCATTGCTCAATTTGCTATGATTTTCTTGGGCGCATGGATACGACTATGTCTCAATAGTGAACTTTTATCGGTGAAAGACTTTTCACACTCGACACACTTGTACGTTCTGCCAGTGTGCGTGACCAAGTGTCTGCTAAGACCTGATGCATGACAGAATGCCTTTGGACATAGCTGGCAATGATGCAGCTGAATATCATTTGGATTCAACTTTTGATGTCGACGCATATGCACTTTAAGTGCCTCCCGCTGTGTGAAGCTCTTCTCACAGTGCTGACACTGGAAAGGTTTCTGACCAGAATGTGTCATTAAGTGACGGAATAGGATCTCCTTTTGCGCAAAGGCACGATGACAGATGTTGCAGCCAAATGGTTTTTCGCCTGCAAGCAAAAATAGAAATAGCACACATGCATTTCTATAATAACTTTAATAGGCTTAAGCATGTATTTGTATATTTGTATGTTATGCAAATATTTATATATCGATGAAATATTATTAGAATATTATAATTCTATCTAAAAAAAATTAAAATTTTCTCAATAATAGCAAAATTAATATAAAACAATACTAACCTGTATGTGTACGTTCATGTCTCACCAGCGCAGATCTTGTTGGGAACCATTTTTCACACGCTTGACATGTAAAACCTCTTTGTGTAGAATGTACAGACTGATGACTCTTCAGCATTATTCTTCGGGTAAACGCTTTTGGACATTTATCGCATTTGAACACCTTCAATTCTGGATTTGCATCAACTGTATGATACAATTTAGATGTTTATAACAATTCCAACTATTGCAATTTTTACTCTATTATAGATAATTTTCTCAGTGTTTTTTACCTATTGTGTCACCCATAGGCTGCAGTTTTAATGACTCTCCTTGAGTGGAACTGTTGCTGGTAAGTTCCATCATGTAAACATTTTTGTGATCTGCGCTCGCGATCGCTCTCTGTACTTCTTCCGCTTCATCTTCAGATTCTTGTTCCTGCTTGATACGCGTTGTTCTGATCGTGCATCGCGCTTTGGCCGTTCGTTCCTCAGGAGGCACCAATGTAATGTTTTCTGGATCCTCCGAAACAGTTTCTTCCATTTCTGGATTCTCAGAATTCATTCCTATATAATATTACACAATAACATATGTAAATCAAATATTATTCTAAATCTTTAATCTTCAGTATTTAGCAACATACCCAAGATATATCCACCGACAAGCTCCTCCTCTGTCACTTCGATTGGATCTCCATCCGCTTGGCTACTTTCACCTTTGGTCGAAACTAGATCAGCTAACAACTGTTTAACTTGTTTAGATTTGCCAGTAGTGGATTCCTTCGAATCATCCTTGCTGCTATCCTGGCTCTCGCCTTCTTCGTCCTGTCCAGTCAATTGCTGTATTAACTTCATATGTTTTCTCAGCTTGGTATCTGCAGCCTGACATTTTTTTCTGAATTGGTAAGATTTTTCCAACTGATATTTGCATGGATGACATATCATGTTAGGTAGGCCATCCTGTTCGTAGACCTAAAAAATTAATATTTTATATCAAAATGTTATCATTTTCTTTGTCATAATTATATTAAGATATATAATATATAAGACATTAATTTATAATTGACAGTATGTTATATTTAAATATATCAATGTATTAGTTAAAAGTAATGTATTAATTTTTATTTCTAATATATTAAAAATATAATAGTAAATGATGTTAATAAAAAGGCATAGTAAGGAGAAATATTTTAATTAACATCTCAATTTAAAATTCATAAAAATTATAATCCAATATTTTTAATTATGTTTAATGTTTCAGATCGACTTTATGTATGAAAGTCCTTCAGACATCCGTTTCCTACATCCCATCGAGAGATCATCTTTTCTAGGGGAACCGCGAAACATTAAACGAGACTTCCGAAAGAAGTCGCTCTCAATTATTACATCGCAAAGGGATTATCCCGAAACGAGACGCGCCGTATCCGGCGTACAAATATTACAGATCTCTATAAATCCGTAGGGTAAACGAACGAGCGAGAGTCGCAGTCTAGGTCTCTGCAATGGGACGCGTAAAGACGCGTACCTATCGCCACCAGCTCGTCGATAACTCGGTAAAGCCGGTAGTTGCTTCGCGCAACGTCATTTCACCGACGTGTATACGTGCCCCCCTCCCTCTTTCTCTCTCTCTCTCTCTCTCTCTCTCTCACAAGCGTCATACGCGATTCTCTCTCACGCTCGCGGGGACCCGGTATTTACACGCGAACCTCGCCTCATCGAAGGACACGCGCGGGGGGGAGGGTAGGGAGATAATGCGAAAGGACGCCGTGCGGTGCGCGCGGAGAGATAAACTAGATTCCTATTTTTCGATCAGCCGCCGATTATCATCGCCGATCGAATAACGAAACGATGCTCCGGATCCGGGAGCGATCGGCGATCGCCGAAGCGTAAACCCACCTCGATGTTGACGCAGGCGAGTATACGCAGCGGCAACGGCACGGTCTCGTCTTCGTAGATCGGCACCATCTCCTCCTCCTTGGCCAAGCACAGTCGGCACAGCTCGTTCACATGAATGATCACGTTGCTCGGGCTGTCGCCCTTTTTCCTGCTGTACGTTTTCATCGTCGCTTGTTGTCCGAGCCTTTCCGGGCGAGCTCCGTTCGAGTTCCGCTCCTTCCGAGAGGATCTATCTGTTTAATTTCTCCCCGGCCCCTCTCTCTCTCTCTCTCTCTCTTTCTCTTTCGCTCCTCCCTATCTCTATCCTTATCTCTAATCTTCCTTTCGAATTTGTGGCAAGTGCACGACGGAGCGTAATGTCGAAAACGCGACGGAGCTTTCCGTAAGAAGTTCGCGATCGCCAACTCGCCGAGACTCGGTCACTCACAACGGAATCTATAATGGCGGTCGTCCGTCAATGGCGGCGCTGCCGGCGAATTGGCAGCACTGCGCGTCCCCGTCGGCGACGCCGCCATATTTGCTCTCCCGCGCGCGCAAGTCGGAGAGAGAGAGACGCGCGTACGCGTTTGGAGGGAGACGGAGCGAGCGACAACGAAGGCGGCGGGGGGGGGAGCGGAACGCGTGGGGTGGGGGCGAGCGGAGAGGCAAATGGCGGCGCGTGGTCCTCGTACGCGCGGGAGTCGGTAAGGGCGATTGCGATTATTGATTTTCCATTCTTCCCAACGGCGGGAAATGCGAGCCTCGCCGACCTCACCCTTTTCGTCCGGCGCCGACTACGGGAATTCCTGCCCGGTAAGTGGCTTTTTCCTTCCTTTTTTTGACGTTTTTTCGGCATGCGTCGAAACGAGGAAACGGCCGGAAGGCGTATCCGAGGAAAATGAGCGTACGTGTTATGATTCCGTTTCCGGGTTCTTCGATGTAACGTAAGTATATCGACGACCGGGAGTTTAACCTGTTCTCTCTCTCTCTCTCTCTCTCTCTCTCTCTCTCTCTCTCTCTCTCTCTCTCTCCTCTCTCTCTCTCTCTCTCTCTCTCTCTCTCTCTCTCCTCTCTCTCTCTCTCTCTCTCTCTCTCTCTCTCTCTTTCTCTCTTTCGTTTTCTCTCGCCGGTGAAATATTTCATTGCCGATACGCAGATCCGGGTCCTCTTCGTTATCGAGCTTTATATTGAAAGTTAATTATTTGTCGATTTTTTTAAATTGAGTTTTTGTCGAAATAAACATTTATTCGTTATTGCAGCAAAACGCACGTAAATATCGTAGATTGTAGCCGCGGCGCAAAATAGAATTTTATAGAAATATAGATTGGAAAAGTAGAGGAAAAGGAAAGATTAAAAGAGAGAAAGAGAAATGATAAACTCGTACTTGGGTTATTTTTTTCGTCGCATTGTTTTCTACGTTGAAATATCTCTGTGCATTCGAAGATATTTTTTTGGATTTTATCTATTTTCGAAACAGAGTTTGCAAAAAGTGCTTTGAAAGGGAAAGCAAATGTTTTATTTGGAATATATTCTTTAAAAAAATCGCTTATAAAATGTTTCATAAAAGATACATTCAATTCGATAATTGAACGTAATTTAAAAGTATCCTTTTGACAAACTGATAATTAAAATTTTATTTATGCAATTGACATATGGTTTCGTCAACATAAAGTAATTAGGAAATTATATCGGTGTAATTAACTGAAGTAATTAAATTATTTCACGCTATGAAATTATATTGAAAATGTGCAGGAAATGACCATAGAAACATGGACAACAGTGACATGCAGCACAACTGGTTGCACGACTACAGGCGCCGATCTCTTTCCAAAGACGGTAAGGCAGAGATTAAAGTCATACAATAGAATGCAGCGATAATGTCGCAAGACAATAAATATGATTTCATTAGCAGCTTTCATATAATCGATATTATCGCAAGGGATAACATGATATTATACACACCGTTTATAATAATATTGCCATGATAACAAACGTCATCGAAGGGACACACGCGAAATTATAAAGCTCCTATATCAATGGATGTGTTGGAGTTATTAAATTTATGTTAAACTTAAACACTCGATCAATTTTGAAATTTGCTCCCGAGATAGTGTATTCTCAAATAGAAACTAGGTTCAAACATTCCTTGCGAACACCTGTTCCGGAAGTGAAGCATTTGATAAAAATATTTTTGGCTACATTGTGAAACACGAAAATGTTTCAACAAGCAATGTGTGGAAAATAACGTGATGAAAAAATACTCTATATTTATTTTTACAGATTTTGAAGACTTTTTTAATTTTAAGAAATATTTTATTTGCAATATTAATAATTGAATAATTAATATATCTTTTAAAAGTAACATGGTTTGATCTGAAATACATATTTTGGAAACTCTTTTATTATCAACTTACATTACATTTAGAAATGTGTTAAAATTTAATTTCATATTTAATTATTATTAAATTAAATTTAATATTTTATTAATATTTAATATTTAATATATTTTTAATTTAGTTTTAATTTTAATTTAATTTTATGCTTAAATGGCTAATACTTCATAAAATTCGATTAAAATTCTACTTAATTATTGATTGAGCTATTAATTTCCTCATAAACATAGATTATTATCTACCGATAGCATTATGATACTGATTGTAATTTTATAGGTGTTTATAGAAGCCGATTTAATAAACGTCGAATATTATAACAAAGTCAAAACAATGGAAATATTGCCTCGAAGAAATTGGAAAACAAGGTAAAGTACAACATGAAAACACTTTAGTTTGATTTATTTTTATTTTCATTAGCGAGATAGAGACACAAAGCGTACGATTTACCAGCTGTGAACGTTGGCACGTTTTCAATTCATGGCGTAGAATTGTCGACAAGATTGCACTAGATATTGCGAATACAGCTTATCGAATGTGGATAGACAATCGTATCTTTTGTCCTATTGCTGAATTCCACAGGGTAAGATAAAGAATGCTATCATTAGATATCGATCATTGAAAGATCTTTTGGAAAATAAGTACACATGAAGAAGATTAAATGTATAATAAGAGTTAATAATGCTTGTACAATATTAATTAATTTAACAAGTTAATTAGTAATGATAATTTTGAATAATAGAATCTATTTTTAAAATTTTTCTTTCTTTTTCCTTAATGTTTTCGATATTTGGTGAATTTCTTGGTAATTGCTAGGAAAGTTTCGTTTATTTTCTTCCACTTCGCTTCCGAAAAGCCTCGCACTTTGTCGGTAAAGTATTTTAATTGTGCATAAAATATGTAAATTGGCACGAATTTCTCATGTTACACTTGCGAAATATTCATAAATGGTTCATATATAAATGATTTACATTTCTCTCTTAACCCTTCTCTGCCAAGCTTCGAACTTGCATATTTTATGAGAACGCGATGCAAGAATACACAATATGATGCATAAATGTTTGATATTTTTATAAAAATATCAAATAAAAAAGGATGAAAAGAGAAAGAAAATCTGAAAAATTTAAGATATCCGTTGACATGTATTAGCTGATTTTGTATAAATTTATTTTGCAGAAATGCCAATAAAATTCAACATCACGCAATCTACATGCGATTTTATTATTGCGTCGTTTTCAGTTGAGTGTTTCGCGCAAAGAAATAAAAAAGAAAAGAAAAGAAATATCCAATTTCTCCTGATATATTTTTACTAAAAATAAATCCCGTACTCTCTTAATTATACTATTGACAACGTATTTCTGCTTTTCAGATTCGTAACATGACTTTTCGGAAACGAAATACGGGAAAACGCAGACGAGGCTTTCCCGCGATTGCCAGGAAATCCGCCGAATGCCACAAACATTAAAGAAAGAGAAAGAGAGGGAGAGCATCCTGAGTATCGAAAATAACCACGATGAGGGAAGAGGCAGGGAGCAGAACGAATTCGGCGGTTCCGGGTGAGGGAGGGGGCCGACGATGGTTGTCTTCTGCTGCTCTCCGGTGCTTTGACTTTTCCGAGAGTCCAGTGTGTTTCGCTACCCGAGGAACCCGTGTTCTCCACCTATATCAGCGCGAAGGTAGGTGCCGCGTTCACACATGTTGCATCACTCGTTGTCATTGATGCATTCCGCGGCGGAAAAATCCAAGGAAATGGAAGATACAGAAGGTCAGATGGAATAAAAAACGAAGAAAAAGTGGAAAATGTGGAAGATATAGATGATCCGGGAGGAGTGTGAAAAATTAAGAAAGATAATATGGAGAATATGAATAGGAAAAAAAAAGGAATAAAAAGGAATCTATATAATAAAATATAAAAATTGGAGAAAAATTAAGAAATGTAAAGCAAAAACAAAGGAAATTAATAAAGTAAAAAAGAAATATTTTAAATCTTTAGAAAAAATCGATAAGACTTTTAGATATTCTTTTCTATAGATTTTTCTTTTTCAAAAATTTATCAATCGCTGCTTTTTTATATAATTATTTAATTAAGTGACAAAATTTATATACTCAATTACCACCTTGGCACTCAACAGCCTAATTAAAAGTAGATCAAGTAATTAAGTTGTGATATTTATAAAGATTATTTATAGCAAAAAAGTCATTGACAGTTGCAATAAAGGTAATATGTTTTATATCAACAGTAATTTATAATCAAAATGATTTGATTATAGATTCATACATGTAATTATAAACACTGCTAACATTTCTTTGGAGAACTTTTAAATAACAATTTTAAGATTTGTGGATCGTGCATTGTAAGATTGTTGCATATTTTTAATTATATTTATTCCTTTTATTTATGGTACATAAAGCAGGTAGATAATCATTAATTTAATGAAATAGAGTGCAAAGTGTCATGACAACCTCGATATTTTACACTCTATTGTTGTATTAAATTAGAAATAGGGAACGGTTTAGAACTGTGAGTCAATAAGTCAGGAATGTATTGCCTGAAAACGCAGATTGCCAAAAACGAAATGTCTCGAATAACCTGTGATTTTTAGAATGAAGTGTTGATTGCAATTTGCATGACACGTTTTCGGCGCGCCGCCCTGTCTATTCGCAACATTCTGTAACTACCACAGATAAATTCGTTACAATTCGGACAGCCAAAAATTGTTATACGCGATGTTCGTATATTGTTGAAACAATGCACCAGAAATAGATGACACGTCGTGCGTCACATCGGTAAACAACGCAATGCGGAAAAATCATCACCCTCTTTTGATGCAATCGCGTCATGCGAAATTGTTACAATCATGTGTGTATCATGACTCTACAAAAAATAATAGAATTAAATTAATGGGTGTTCAATTATAAGTATATTATAGAATTTTCTTGCAGTGATTGACTTTAGAAAACATTTTTTTAACGATAACGATAAATTTTGATTAAATATTGGAGAATTAATATTACTATTTAATATAGAGTTTTATAAAAATATTCTATAAAAGTAAAATCTACTAATTGTTTTAAAAATTGCTGTTATTTATTATTCACTTACGATGAATTAATATTTATAATTCTATAGTGATTTAATTATTATTGAAAAATACTTACATTGTCATATTTATTCGATGCAATAGACTAATGCAATATTATATTAATAATCACTTGTTGATTATATCCAATATTTATTTTATTTAGAATAAAGGATAATTTTGAAGAATCGATTGTTTCGCGTTCAAAAAATATCGCGTTCAATTTTTATTCATGCGTGTCATAAATATTTTTTATTTATGACACGCATGAATAAAAATTGAACGCGATATTTTTTATTTATGACACGCATGAATAAAAATTGAACTTCCGATGAAACCGCAATATTGTCTAAATATGCAGTTTAGAATAGATGTGAGTTATGTAAAGAGAGAAGAAGCCTTGAGAATTTCGAAATATGCGAAAATAGTACCATGTATGTTTAGCTAATTATTGGCTGATGGAATTCGATTCTAAATTTTTGACATTCTTACATATTTAGTTTGTAAAAAACAATTAGAAAAAATTATAATTATGACAAATTGAAATCAATCTTTATTGAAATTAACCTTCGTTCTGTGTGAGCAAGCTTTTTTATTTTTATTTCACCTTGATATCAGTATTTTATATGATTCTAAATTAATGAAAATATTTAAAGAAATTACTGGTAACAATTTCATTAAACAACAATATCGATATATGTGCTATTATATTAAATCGATATGTATTTCATCATCGATCGATTTTTATTGTGACGTACGAGCTTTAATGTAATTCAATACGACCCGAAGGAGAGTGTGCTCCAAAGACCAGCTGGTAGGAAGAGGGAGAAGTAGAGATTTTGCGGACGATGTAGATATATTCGGAGGAATTTCTAGGCAAAAATAACCGTGGTATAGGCCACCGGTGGGTGCCCAGCAGAGACGTGTTAGTAAGAATTTGAGAGATTTTAGAGAGTTGAATAGATCCGCGACGAGATCGATTAAGCCAGAATATCAAAAAGTACTATCGAATCGCTAGAGGAGAGAAGAAAAGGTGATCATATGTAATTGTTCAATTTTTAGAAATTTTTAGACAGTCGTGACTAAAATATATAAATAATATACTTTATTCTATTAGAAACAAGAATTTTTCCAAAAGAATTTTTCAAACAGCACTATTTAAGAATGTTAGATAAAAAGGCAATAATAAAAAAATTGATAACAACAAATGTAACTATTTCGAAAATCAATTATAGTGATTATTTATATAAATAAGTTTTATAATTACATGTAAAAATTTAACGATAAAGAGACAAAAGCAAGAACAATCATTTATAGATAGATATAAATATGCTCAATATTATGAATAAAATAGTGCATACGCGAGATCAAAAGAAGAATCTATCAGAAATAGATCGCTGCGCTTTTGCAGCGAGAAGTGCTTAATTAATATTCACCAGTATCATTTTATTTTTTCCGTTAGAAAGATTCAATTAAAAATACAGAGTATTTCAAATATCACACAAATAGAATAAGTATATTTATACACTTCTAGAGTCTAATATAAGATGAAATATCTGTTTATAAAAAAATACCTAAAACCTCGATAAATTTAAACAGGAAACCTTGAGAAAAGATTTTGCGCATCGCATTGGATTTCGGAGCAATCCATATATATTTTCGAATACTTTCTTATACATCGTTGAATATATGCAAAATATTTACTACCAACAGAATACTTCATCTGCTGTAAATTGCATCTCCGAGTCTGCGAGTATTTTTCCTGGCTTTCGCAATAGACACGCGCATTAAATCTTGCCACGATGCGCGAAGAGGGATGTAAAATGTTTCGAAAGAAGCAACGCGGGGGTGATAAAGATGTCATTCGTGGGTCGATATCTTTTTTTACGATCCATTATATGACGCAATAAGTGCAATAAACAGAAACCATCCGGCGATTTCGCACACGTATGTCAGTGAACTCGCGACTGTCTGATCGCTATTGAAATCACCAGACTTGTTGCGACACCAATTTCAGAAATCATTAATAAATACTCACATCTTTTAAATTAAATTATAGGAAAATAAGAAAAACATATGTAAAGTATAAAATGTTTAAAATGTGCTTATTTTTTTAATATATCTACTAAGCATGCTACTTGATTTATGAAGAGAGAGGGAGAGAAGAAAGGGATGTAACTTTAAATTTTTCTCTTTAAAAAAATACGAGAATAGTTAGTCGAGAATAGGTCGCTGGATTTTATATGAGGAAAATATCGATTATTTTTCTCCAATTAAATACATAATACTTTTTCATATGCGTGCGCCCCTGCGTGAATTTCTTGGCACAAATCTGGGAATAATATCTCGCGTTGTAGCTGTAGAATCCGTCTCTTCAGGGTAAGATCAAGTAAGCAAACATTTTCGAACGATCGTTGAACGATCTTCTCAAGATGACCCAATTTCCGAAATTGCGCTTGCTCTTCAGCCTCGCACGATTTGCCATCGATTTGGAACATGATACGCGTGACTCACATGTCAAGGTAGAAATGTCATCGTTCATCATGTCACGTAAATTTCCGCGATAATCGCAACACGGCAGATTGATGACTGTAATTTTTCACAAAACGAAAAATTGTCCCTGTTATTTATTACCGCGCTTAATTTGCAGACGCATACGTAATCATTATTAGTAAGGCAGATGTTTGCGTTGTAAGGTTCTATAGACACGCGATTCGATATAGTGGATTTTGGCAGAATTCGCGTGCAAATAGCGCAGCGATGGCAAATAAATGATAATTTGCGTGTGGGATGCTTCAGAAAATAACGTCATACAATAAATAATGTTATTTTCTCTGGCTTTATATAAACGAGATAAAAAATATTTAGAACATCCTTTATCGTATTATCAGATCGTAACACTTTTATTCTATCATTTAACATTGATTAAGAATTATTTTTACATGACGATTATAAAATTTGGAAATAAAATTATGTAAATTAGAATTGGGGAATAGAATTATATAAAATCAATATGTTTTCATCAATGTATTTTTCTCCTGATCTTCTTATTTTATAAAAATACTTTTCAATTATCAGATTATTGTTGCAATTATAATTTTCAACATTTAAGAAATCTTTTAATATCCCTATATATTGCTCTCTCTTAAAAAAATATTTTTTATGTTGCAGTAATTAAAGAATAAATCTCTCTCGAGATTAAGGTATCAACCATGACCACCCAAAAGGCAAGATTTGTGAACAAGCAGTTCAATTCCCCCATTAATTTATATTCACCACAAGTGATACAGGAGACTCTAGATAGGCAGACTCAAGTTTTGGCTAACGGTGCAGTCGGGTAAGTTTGTTTTTCATGCGAAAAATACGAAAATAATTTAAACTTATTATTACACACACATCTTTAAAAATCCTCTCTATTAATTCTAGTTCAAACGACTTCTCAATAATTTTCTAATGACAAATATGTAAATTGTCACTCCTTAATATTATTTCAATTTTGTAATAAAATCATTTAAATATTATTATTTTAATATTATTTCAATTTAAATATTATTTCAACTACAATCAGTTTGATGAGGAAAAACATTGCACCGTCTTGTTTATCCCGATAACATCCCTCGACCTAATTCAAGAGACAAGAAGCGGACAGTAACCCCGATGCATCCTGCGAATCTTCACGATTGAGACTTGAATGACTCATGATACATGCTTTTACTGCCGAAACCGCCCGGTGAATCTAAAACTGGTCGACTTGACGCGACCACCTTGCGTCAATCATCGCGCATCAGCCTCCTCCGTCTTGCGGTCCACGTGTCTCGATCGCTCGGATCGGCGGCCGATGTCGGTCGCGCGACGACGCCGCGTGAATCAGCCGACGACGTCGATGCCGGTCGCGGTGTTGGTTATTTTCAGAGGGTCGAATCACCGGCGACGGTTAGAAATAAACGGCCGGAGAGGCCGGACTCTTGATCGCCGTCCTGCGCAAAGCCGACGGCTGCATCGCGTCTCTTCGTACTTGACTTAGTTTCGCGTTTGGTGAACCGCGGACGCGCCAGCTCGCCTCCGTCATCGTCATCGTCGCCAGCTATCTACGTCGCGTCGGGAACCTCGTCGAGATGATTGCCACGAGAAGGTGATGGTCATCGATTTTCACAAATTCTTAAGAATCGCGGAAAATGCATGAGAGACGCAGGGAATGCATTTCCTTTCGAATTTTCTCGAAAATTAATACGTTTCTACTTTTCGCAAGTGATCTTATTCGATTTGGCAGCTCTTCAACCCGCGGTTCTACGTCTGTTGGTTGTTGACAGCCAAAGACTTCCATTCAATGTTAATGTTCGACTTTCGTCAATGATGCATGAAACAATAGGTGGTCTGAGTAAAAGCGAAGCAAAGGGCAGAAGAAAAACATTCCTCTTATCTTTTATTACAAAAAAATTTTATATTTTGAAATATTTGCTTATAAATATAAGTTTTTTCATTCTATGTAAAATTTTACAATTTTTTATTTTCAAATTAATATCTTAACATCTTTACTATCATTCTCCATCTTTTTTCAAAGATATCGTGCCTCCTTTTATTTATATGTAGTTACCTGTGAACATTTATTTTGGAAAATGAATGCAAAATTATTTAGAGAACTGAATCTGAAGATTTATGCAACATTTGAAATTATTAATAAACCGAGCTTAAATATGATTTTTCTTCTTCCAGAATCGACTTCAATCAGTTAGCCAAGCCGGCGAACTTGCAGAATAGCGCGGTTTTACGTATGCTCGAAGAAGAAGAAACGAGGCAGCGCGGTGGTCAACCCGGTAAGTGAAGAAACATTTCTTAAAAAATAAAATTATGTATCCCTCGAAAATATATCCCTATGATTCAAGATTGTTTTAAAGTATTTTGATACTGAAATATTAAATTGAAGTTTACATTCGCTTGTTTGATAAATTTATAGGCTTTGTGATATACTAAGATTTATTGCATCAACGTAATAATTGTGATGACTCATAATAATGCAATTATCGCGAATATCAGCAACTCAATCACTGGCATCAGTTTCTTAAATTAATGCGGGTATGCAACACATTTTCAATTTAGCATGACATAGTCGTTACTCTTGTTATACCGCGAGCTTTGGCCGCGACTCAAAGACGTAAGTTCACCGGATTAGTAACACATTTTTGCAAAACACATGAGTCTCTCAGTGCGCAAACACCGAGCGTTATATTCGAGAAAGGCGGCCTTGTGGATACATCACATTAATTTCTTCCTGAAAATATCTGATTAGGAGAGAGAATTTATCATAGTCAAGTTTTTGAGATTCTGATCAATCCGCGGGATCAAGAAATGCAATAATTTTATTGGCTGAATAATTGCCAAGAAAGAGAAACATTAATCAAAAATTAATTTTTGAAAACAAAAAAGCGTACATTTATTATAATATTTTATTATATTTTATTATATTTGTTATCCTAACTCTAAAAAATTCCTTTTGTCACATATATAGCGTTTAAAAAGTAAGATAAAGTATAGATTTTTGTTGAGATAAATCTGGATCTTTCGACTTATTGTAAGATTATTGAGATATAGAGATCTCTCAGACATTTTTTATAACACGACCCTCTTCTAGGGCACGGTCTGCGTGTCGCTAATCGGGCACAATGTCGATTCCCCCACTCTTTGGCCGGTCACCAGGAAAGCTCTAAAATCGGTAGCCAGCTAGTTTTCGCGATAATGAAAGGTACAAGTGACTTCGCCATGGCGTTAGTAGTTGGCGGGTGTCCGTTTTGGCAGAGTCGTGTTCGTCTTCGCGATTCCGTGATTAAACCAGAAAATTCCACCTGGGAATCGAATCGGTATGTGACGTATAAAATCCAGGCGAATTTTATTAGCTGCCAGGAAGTATATTCGCACACTTTAACGCGATTAACGATGCGCGACTCCCCATATGGGTGTCGCAATGGTCATCCGTTGCGACACACTCGCGGTGCGGTCCAATCGATGTGTAAGAGCTGTCTAACATTAGGATTGTACGTCATTAAGTATTATTCCAGATAAAATAGTAAATGTTGACGGAAAAGTCATATAATAATATCGCTGAGATTATCGATGATCGTCGTGTAGTGCGATAAATGTTAGATCAAGTGCGTCGATAGGAATTGACGGCAGTTTATGGTAATGATATGATCATTATACATGTGATAGATGAGTCATACACACAATAATTTTGAGAATAATGATCGCATTTAAGTGAATATACTCGACATTAATAATTAATAGTATTAGTGACAAATAAATGGGTTACGTAATTTTTCGTTATCGATTGAAATCGATTATGTTTTACAACATATCTTAGAAATAATTTAGTAAAATTATAAAATAAAATTATCTTGGTATCGATTGACAACGTATACTTAAAAGTAAATGTTGATGTCAGAGAGAATATATTCGAATATTTATATTAATCTACAAAGACGTCAGTATCTAAAAATATATTATATCTCCATTATTTCGAAAATTGTTCAAAATTAAAATTTTTTTATAAAAAAAATACTCTTTAGTTAATTACTTTCATTAAGTTAATTATCAAGTTAATTTATGAAAACAGTTATATGTTATAAAATATGTCGTAAAAATGGAGAAAATTAATAAAAATTAGAACGGGTTTTGGCTCTGCAAATTTCTATTATTATCGTTTCTTAGGTCTCAAACGAGTAGCTTGGCCACCGCCTCCAGAAGATCAAGACTTCGACTACGTGGAGCAAACTCCAATTCAAGCGAAGGTAAGAAGATAAATGATTAAACTTGTTTACTTGTATATATTTCTACCTTCTATAGATATTCAAGTTTCTACGCATTTCGCGCTTTAATAAGGCGGTTATAAAAATTAATAAAAAATGATTAATATTAATTCTTAAATTTATTATCTTTTCTGTATATTGCAAAATTAACATATTTAAAATAATAAAAAAATAAAGATGATAAAATATCAATTAAAAAATTAACTTTCTCGTTATAACATGCTATTGATAGCAAAAATATATTCATAAAATCATTTTTAACACAATTTTCGCTGTCTTTTTTTTCATGTAACAACACATGTTACACATTTCACACGAAGAAGACAAATATAATCGTGCAAATTATTTTAAAAACATCCGATAAGACACGGACTCTTTATGAGAATGTTTATATGTTGTATGCATTTTTTTCATAATATTATTTATGTCCAATTAGTGCAATAGCTCCTCCTGCATCTTGCCATGCGTGTAGAGTGAATGCAACAATGTTTACGTGTTCCTTTTATGTACATTCGTTATCTGTGTGTATGCATATCAATCTTATTTTATTCGAGGCTGAGATGGAGAAAGCACTACATATATGTACATATAATATACAAAGTAATTTTGAATTAAGATAGCAAACTGATGTTTAAGAAGACTTGATAAAGTTGGAATTAATTTTAATTTAAAAAAAAAGTTTTTAATATTGCAATAATTAGCTTCAAAATTGGAAATTTATTATAATATACTCGTAAAATTATACAAATTAAATTTTTTACTAAATTTGTAATTAACACTATGTAAATTATGAATATCTTTCATTAATAGAAAAACTATATTGACATAAAGTGTTATTCTCCATCTTTGATTTTATTAATAAATTGGTGCACGCAGTGAATATCGATATCGTTAGAAAGATGAAAAAACGAAAACATCTAACATAAACACAGCTGGATTACTCTTGAATACATGAATCACCATATCGTTAGGATCGTTGAAGCAGGTCTACAGAATTATTTGCCGGAAGCCAAAAAGAGAAAAAATAAACAAATAAAATTGTTAAATCAGTGCATAATTGTTTTGATAAATCAAACGATACTTGGCTCGAGCGAATCGCGGTCAAATTTTACCAATTTTATCAATTTAAATAATCATTTCATAAACAATATATTTATAATTATATAATTATTAAAAATCATATTTGTATCTTATTGTTAAATCGATTACACATATTTGCGCAAAATTTTCACTCTTAATTTTTATAAAATATCAATTTAATGCATTTTATATATTTAATCTAGTTATTTGAAAATATTTATAAAGAAATAATTAAATAAAATATAATAAATTCATATTTTTAGAGGACGCAAAATCTATAAATAAATTTATATTGTACTTTGAATTGAAAACGAAATATAATAATAAAATCGGTATACGCGGCTTAAAAGTTAAAGTAGACAGAAGAGGATTTCAACATATCCTCTAAATCACTTGTAAATTACATTTCGGATATACATCGTCTCTCACAAATTCTTGTACAAAATAACGTACATTATTCCTCTCTTCATCGAGAAGAGACGCCAGATTAATTCGCGTGTTCGCTCGAGCCTGAACAGAATTATCTGTTTTCCTCTGGTAAGACCCGTGGATACGGTGATCTCGGCTCGTACCAGAGCAGTCCCACGTCAGGTCCATCACCCCAACCATCCTTGGTGATCGCACCGCAGAGCGCCGTCCCGTCATCCCCGTCACCGGTCAGTCCTGGCGGCACGCTTCTGCGACAACCATCGCACTTTCGACAACAACAGACGAATCTCAAGAGCTGGACGCCGGTGACACCCCCGGCGACTTCGCCGCTCCCGCACCAGCAGCATCCTCCGCTTCCGAGTCAACAGACCCAGCCTTGGCAGGTAAGTGATGTTCGCATGGATGTGATTGACGTGGTCCTCCGCAATTTTGGAAGAGCTGGGAATAGTTTTCGGTAAGAGAAACTGTGCGATGACATTGCGAGCACTTGCATTGGATGTGACAAATGGAACATGTGCGCGAAATCATCAGTTACGTGCAATTCGGATTCGGGGATGACGTGTCGTAAGAAAGATGTTTTTAACGAAGATTTGCAAGGTATTGCAAATGTATTGCAACTGATACAGATATTTTTGCGTGGGTTTAATAGACGATAGAGCGCGACGAAACTTATCCTCTTTGCGTTTCAGCAACACTCCCAGGATCCCTACGACCGAACACCACAGAAGCAACAGAATCAACCCGGTTATCAATCATCTGTTCCTGCGGCGTTCGAGGCACCACCCTCCACTATCATTCTTCGTCCTGAGCCACCTATCTCGCAGGTGAGAATCTAGAGGGGGGAGGGATCGAGAAGAATTTCATATTCGTGCCAAAAATAATATCTTTTAATAATTTTTTTAAAATACACATTTTTTAATTGTTTATTTCATTATTTTTTCATACAAACAATATTAATGATATATTTTCACGCAATTTAATACAATATTCGTATCCTATATTTTTCACACAAGTAATGCTTTGTGTAAAATGTAATGAAACAGTATAAGTTATAATTAATTCAGATATTTCTTTAGACACCTGAATCAGATATTTTGTATTACATTACAAAAATTCGGCAATGAACATGTTGATAAATGTGTTCAATATTATGTTACACATCTCCCACACAACTTTAATCTTAAAATCTAAAAATAATGCAGTAATATTATACGCGCCTTCTCAAACAGTGAAAACAGAATACGAAAACACGAAAGCTTCGAATAAACGAGAGAAGTAAAGTATACGCGAGTTGTCAGATGAAGTGATATGATATAATATTTTTGCGGAAGCCTTAGACTAGCGAGCCTTTGGCAGCATATCAGCCGTTAAATATTTCGGGCGTTCTTAGCATCGATTACACATAGCTCGTCTAAAATTTATCTAAGAATATCTCGCATCTCTAGCTATTCCTATAATCCGAGTCGACTTCAAAGAAGAATAATGTTTTCCACATTACTAACAAAAATGTTATTCTTTTAGATATTTCCGCGAGATCTCTAGTGTCTTATCCCAAGAATCGTGTGTTAAAAATAAATGAAGATGTAAAAATAAATATACTAAATCTTTTCCAATCGCGCGCACGCAAGAGAGATAATCTTCTTAAAAAAAAAATTTAATGTTATTTCATTTATTCAACATCTTCATTCTATCGATCTCTCTTAGTCTTCTATCGAAGTCTCTCTTAATTTTCAGATACCAGCACCGGTGTATCAGGCCCAACCTGCAGCAACCAAGGCTCCGGCAACAGGCAACATGCGAGGAGATCTAAAGTGGCCACCACCGACCATAAAAGCCCAGGTCGAGGCAGAAAACCGAGCCAGGATAGAACTCGCAAAGGGCCCGGCTTTTAGGCCTCGTCGAGTGAACAAGGACTATAGCAGTTTCTTCGCACAACATGCTCTGAACAGTAACTACCCGGGCTACCGAGCACCGCCGGGTACCCAGTACTTCACACCGGCTTATCAACATTAGTAAATATTTCGTTTTGAACAACGAGCACGAAGCATTGTCCTGAGTTTCTCGTCAAATGGGATCGAGTGTTCCGATTACAAGTGCTTTCAAAGTTACCGAGATGCTCAGGATCGCTGTTCGCCGATCTTCCAAGATCCCGAGAAATCAGGGAAGCGCACGAAGAATGATTTAAATTTTAAAAAAATTTAAGCGTGAAAAATTGCGATGTTGCTTTTTTTCATATTTGGGCCACAAATCTGCGCACAAGATACTGTGCTGTTGCTCTTTCAGAATGTGGCCCAGACACTAAAAAATCTCGCTTATAATACTTCATGCGCTTCTCGGTTTTCGAGAAAAAAATTTCCAATCCGGTTTTCGAACTTTTACGAGTCTGTACATACAGAGACTGATTCTCGGTTTTCTTTCGTCTTTGTGGGGTAATAAGAGTTTCTGTATAGTAAATTAATAATTACTATACAAAAATCTAATTTGTATCTTACGGCATTCGGTTTATTATCCGGGCATCATCGTTCAGAGATTTCCAGATTCATATCACGTTTTCCTTTTTTCATCCATAATTGAAAAAGAGTCTTTAAATGTATTTATATCCTTAACGAAAAATAATAGAAGATAATTTAAAAATGTTATTTTACATCTTTTCTCTTTTTTTTTCGTGCGGGATTGTTTTTATCTTTTTCCACAATTTAGAAATTTTTGCTTGCGTAAACGTGTCTCCAGTTTGGAAATTTCTGATCTGAACAAATTCAATGTTGTGATAGAATTAAAATGTTGCAAACAAGTTTATAAAACTAACGCTTGCCATAAGAATAAAAAAAGTGGCGGATCATAAACAATCGCTTAAATATTTCGAGTGATAGCGACAGAGATTGTACTTTTATTCCAAAGACAATATGACGATACGGAGAATATATAATAACGAACGTCACGAATATAGAAAAATTTGCGAAATAAACGATCGAAGAAAAATTATGCGAAAGATAACGTATTAAGAAGTATCATCTATACTGAAGTGCGATACACTTTGTAATTTATCGTGATGGTCTGCCCGTTAACTAACCGACGAATAATTTTTAATAATGTAATATATCGATGTGAATAAATAAAAATCAATTTATGCTAGATAAAAGTGCCAATAACTACCATCATATATTGTAATATGATGTAACATCGGTGTATATATAAATCAAACTTTACGAAATTTATATAATGAAAGTGGATATACATAACGATAAACTTTATTTTCTCGCTTGCTTCATAGATAATACAAGAAACGCATCTAAATATCAACAGTTTACAAAATATTTCATATGCATTCATATGGAATTTTCAAAGAATACAGCTCGAATGTGCTGTATTATTGAAATGGTCTAAATCTTGTCCATCAAAAAATGCATCGCAAAAGACAAACTTAAAAAATATATTCTGATTATAAATAAATGCTTCTCCTTCAGCGCGGTGCATACTATTTTATCACAAACATCATAATCGGAGTTGCTAATTTTATTATCCATGCACTTCTCTTTTTAATACATATAAAATATTACGTGTATACACAAGCTCGAAAATACACTCTCAAATAAATAACGTACAAGCTGATATTAAATATAGAATTTTCGAAAAGTTGTGAAAACTTGTCAGCGTGGTTGTTACGTTAAAAAAATTCTCATTAAATTGCTAAGCGACATTCCCTGAGTATCGTGTCCCTTTTTAACTAAAATACATTATTGAAGCACATTTACAAATTAGTATTTCAAGTTTCTTTTCAAAATTATCAATTTCCTAGCAAATTATATATACGGTATATTACGGTACGTATATATGGTATATTTAGGGTGTCCCAAAACTCATAATCAATCTTTCAAAGACAGATTCCTGGGATCATTTGGAGACAATTTTTCCTCAGCAAAAATGTCGAAGGCCATCATTTTTTGCATGTTCCCGATTTTTGTCATCATATCTTTGCAATTAAGTCTTAAATTAAAATTCAACTAAAGTAAACTTTATTTAAAATTAATCGAAGAATGTGATTTTGTTAATTTTATTTCTATAAAGCTTAGTTTACGAAAAACTCCTTATTTCTAATCACTAATAATTCGAAAATTATTAGTGCCTCGACATTTTTGTTGAGGAAAAATCGTCTTCAGATGATCCCAGGAATCTGTTTTTGAAAAATTAATTATGAGTTTCGGGACACCCTGTATATTAAAGTTCTTTTATAATATTAATGGCTTTCCGTATGCAAGTAAAACATAATTGTTCTATTATACATAATCTTTACAAATTTAACGAAACTTAATCAGTTCTATTATATCATACAGTCTATTAATATTAATAGTTTGATAAAATAAAAAACAGTAATTTAAATCCGAGTGCCGGTTTAATAGCTGAATGTTTTTATTTGAGCAAAAGGTTTAAAAATTTTATTTTATTTTTAAACTTGTTTACTTCGTAAGTCATCGACGAGTCGATATCACAATAGAAAATTGTTTCCCAGATTTTAATTTTGTATATATTTTCTCGATTTTGTTATGTACTGGGATATATTATATTGTATTATTGATTGATGAGTTTAGACATGTACTATAACAAAAATATGGAATCCGTTTTTCTTCAATTATCTTTAATTAGACATTGAAGAAAAAATCAAAGCAACAGATTGATGCATCATCAACACAATTATGCATCAATAAGTAACTTGTTATTTTTCATGAATATTCAATTTTTATCAATTTTATAATTTGTAATTTCATATGCAAATAGAAAGTTAATAATTGTACAATTATATATGAGTCATGAAAAAGGCTTTATATCATTTATGTCTTTTGTTTTCACACAAGCGAAAATCCTTGATTATGCTGGATAGCTTGCAGCAACTTATATTTCAATCTTTCGCGTGTTTGATAACGTGGCAAGTCGAGTAAATTGAAGCATGTGTGCGCAGCAGGCAAGAAACGTTCATCGGACATCGGTTGTATCGTTATCTATAACAAAAAAAATTATCAAATGATAAATTAATTTTTGATTTACAAAGATTTTGTAGTTATATGTATCGATTTGATGTTTTTCGTACCTTAATAGCTTTCATACCCTGTATAGGTATTCTGTCACTGCCTGTTAAGAAAAGTAAAAATTTTTTCTTCTCTTCTAATGGCAATTCGTGAAAAACTTGCCAGAAAAGCACAATAGTAGGATCGCTTTTGGTATAACTCTCTTTATAAGCAGCATTCTTCTCTAATTCTTCCCAATCATAATTTTGATTGCCGATTACCAACGCCATCAATTCGTGACTATGAAAGAGTTCTAACACTCTTCCTCCACACACTTTATGAAAACCCTTGTGAAATGCTTTGAACTGTGATTCCACAGATTTGTTCAGTATATAGTCTATGTAGAGATTCACATATTGTTGCCTACATAGACAAAAATAGTAATATCTTTCACATTTTTATCAATGCTATTAGAGATAATGTGTAATGCTTACGTACTTATTTTTTAATGTTACAGAAACTTTGCTACCACCAGGTATCAAATCGAAACTTTTCTGCTCGCCGAATACTTCTCTAGTTATCTCGAAATTCAAACAAAATACTTCTTCAAAGTCTGATTCGTTGTAATCAAGAATACTCTGCATACTTCTGCAATTATAATTTGTACACTTGTTAACGTGTTTTCAATTTATAGGATCAATAATTCTGGGATGAACAATGTGAAACAATGTATAACATACTTAGCTATTACAGGTGACATATCCTTGATGTCGTTTAATCCGACTGATTCACCCAATAGTTTCTTATACAAGGCCAATGGGAATGGTAAGTCAATGATTATGAAATTATAAATAGCTAAGCCACAAAGAAGGCCGATTAAGAAATACATAACTTCATCCTCCAACGAATCCGAGCTAAACCAGATTGTCCTTGTCTCTTCGTATTCTTTAAACATGCCGTACTTAGGATCGAGAATTTCTCGCAGAAGAAGCATGAAAAATTCTTTTTTCACACCGCCTACATCTTCGGCTTCCTCGTTGTGAAATTTAACCTGAAAGAATATGAATACAACCATGCAATTATATATATAGGTTCTTAAAATCTTTAGAGTCAAAATGTTTGAACCTTGAAAGATGCACTTAATTATCTGGATTTAGAGAGTGAGATACTTACTCTAAGTGGTTTTTTCAATTCACTAGAATCATACTGAGATAACTGTGTTAGAGTATCTTGGACTATATCATTCCGTGATACATTCAGTATTACAAATTGATTATAATGTTGAGGATTTGCACTAGCCAAACCAAACATTATATCTCTTACAGCCCGTGATACTGCTTCATGCATTGCAGATTGCATCTAATGTAAATACAATATATTTTAAAATATATTTTAAAATACAATTATTTCTCAAAAACTTGTACTATTTTTTTATACCTGTATAGCTTGATCTGTTTCGAGCAATGTAGTTTTTGCTTCAGCATCAAATAGAAAAGGATAATTGCAAAAGTATATTTTACGATACTGAAAAAAATGCAAAAATTATCAATGCGCAGCAATATATTTATATTATTCTCTTATAATTTACTCTGTACATGTGGATTAAGAAACTCGCTATGATAATCTAGAGATGAAACTTACATAAGACCGATCTTCTTCCGACATCCACATGAGGTAATCGCGGTTGATATCTATATGTTCCGATAATTCTGGCAAGTGAAATGTCTCATAGGGTACTCTTATACCAGCTACTATATTTAATCTATATAGTAATTGTAACAGTTCTAGAACAGCTTTTAGATTTTCATTCCACGAAACAGTCTATAAAAAATACAAGTATATTATTATCAAAATATTATTACAATATATATAGGAGATTTCTTTCTTTTTTCTAATAATATTTTGAAATTTTTCCATAAAATATTCTATTATTTTGTAATACTGAACTTTTCTTTTATCAAAATACTACTAACAAAAGTGTATCAGTTTTATTGCATTTATATTATAATTTTGAAGAGACCGCAGCATAAGTTAAGAGCCTTGTTAAGAAAAAATTCTTGAAAATTTCAAAAATTGAAAAACAATCTTTGATAGTTTCTGCGTGTCATCATTTGCATTATTTCTACATATAATTACCTTGTTCGATGTCGATTGCTCCACAATGTGCAGCACAGTGGATTTATAAATCCTCACTAGTCTTTCAAAATAGTATGCCGAAGCATATGAGCTCCACCATATGCTCACAACTTTGTAAGCCTCCGCTTTCAGTTTTAACACTGCTTTACAGAACGGTATCTGTAGAGAACTGTAGTTTGATAGATTTGCAAAGCGATGATACAATGGTAACGTTAAGTACACTCTCAAAGACTCAACGTCGGGCGGAGAATCGACGAACGATGGCATCAGACTTTCAATTACACATGTAAAAATCTGAAATGAAAGAATATGTCATTTAATATTATTCAACAGACTAAGTATACTTTGTACATTATACAGCTTGAATCATACCAATTCTTGAATCGTATTATTCTCCAATTCTGAGATAATTCCGAATAATCTAATCGCGCGGTCAAGATCGACTCCATGATTTTTGCTCGAACAACCGTAATGCTTATCATTATCAAGTAAAAAAGATGCATTTATACATGCCTGACTTTTGAATACAGTTTCTAGATAACTGAAAACATTGATAAATAATTGAAATTCATGTAAGTGAAATTACAGCACAAATCATTTAAATTAGAGTTGTGTAATCTGATATTACACGAGAGTAAAGAAAAAATGCGAGCGAATGTTTGCTCGTGGATGTATAGTTAAATTTTTGTTAGATCATACAATTTTTTAAATTAAAGTACAATATTCCACTCACGTCATTAATTCATGATTAACTTGTGAGTCTGCTGGGACCCTTTGACAGTCAGCTAGCTTTTCCTCCGTCACTGTAAGAATTTGGGATCCTAATATTCTACAGTCATCTGGTTCTATATTATCCTGTAGATATTTAAGCAAAAGTAATATCCCGTGTATTATTACAGAAACGACGCGAGATTCAATATTTTACTGTGCGCTCCATCTTTCTCTTTTTTTTGTAAATATCACAAAATAAAAAATAGTTAATTTAAACTTGAAAGTTTGGAAGAGATAAATTAATAAAAAACCGCGTAAAAACACACGAGATGATGAGAAAACACACACTTCTCTTGCGGTAATTGTAGCAAAACAATGATCACCGCCGCTGAAAATGTGTCTAACGACACAATCGATTTGTGGGCTATGGTACAAGTCGAACTTCATCGATGATCCGCTCGCCGAGGACCATGGTCCCAGTACGACTAGTGGCGTTGTCGCACTTCGAGAGGCGCGATTACCTAATTGTCCAGCACCTCCTAGACCCCATGCGTAAACTCTACCTCTAGATGGTACTAAGGCAAGTGTGTGTCTTTTACCACAGGATATCTAAACAATGTAATATATAAAATATATATTAATATACATAATGTAATGTATAAAATATGTATATAATAGTATATGTAATTGTTTAATATATAATAATATAAATTATGTAATTAAAATTAATACGATTTAATTACACAGGAAATATAGTAAATGTATTATAATCCAATATTTTTTGTATTTATAACTTACTTGTGTTACCGTGCTACCCATTAATTCCATAACTTGTCGCGGCAAGATTTCGTTCATACCATTTCCATGACCTAATTGACCATACATTCCAGCACCACAAGTAAACACTCCACCATCCTAAAATATTCACAGAGATAATAAGTTTTTATATTAAGATTTATATATTTTCAAAATATAATATTAAATGAATAAAATTTACCAATGTCAAAAACACAGAGAACTCCTCACCGCACGCTGCATAACATACTTTTGCGTTTCTTAAAGTACGTAATTGGCAAGGCACAATTCTCTGTTGTGTATCATTTAATCCCAATTGGCCGAAAGTATTTCGACCCCATGCAAATACAACTCCTGTCCGAGAAAACAATGAATAATATTATTGATGCATTTAAATAAATGTTGAAATCGAATGATGTGGAGAAAGATTCGATTTTTTAATTTTATGCTCATGTAATAATAAAAACTCGCCTGATTTTGATATAACTACAGTATGATATCCTCCACATGCAATAAATGCAATTGGTACAGCAGCTAAAGTAATAATTCTTTTTGGTTTTATTTCAGTAACTGTATGGGATCCTATTCCTAGTTGTCCCTCTCTATTACTACCCCATGAATATAATTCTCCATCATTAGTCAGAGCAATTGAATGCTCTATACCACACGCAATCTGTACTATCACGCTTGTACCCAATGCTTTTACCATACGTGGTGTACGTTCTGTACAATCGACACTATTTAAACCTGTAGGACAATAAATAAGTTATAATTATTATATTTATAATTTTAAGACATTAAAAATGTTATTCCAACGTTTATATCAGTATATAAAATTATAAACAAATATATTACCTAGTTGACCTTTCATATTACATCCCCAACTAAAAAGTTGTCCCCATTCGTTCACAGCCAAAGTATGACAACTGCCACAAGCTATTTTCTTGAATACAAATGCATCCAGGCCAGGTATCAGTTCTATTTTAGCAAAAATTGATACAAAATTTTTCAATCTCTTGGAAATATTATACATCATTTAATTGAAAATTTTTATTGTTAAAAAAAATATACTCACGCAATCTTTTCCTTGCCTTTTCGTGACCAAGTTGTCCATAATCATTATTACCACAAGAATACACTTGCCCATCATTTGTAATGGTTACAGTATAATTTTCTCCACATGCAACTAAAAATTGAATTTTAAAAATTTTGCATATTCTGATAAGTTTATTCAAGAATCTTACTTTGTTCAACTTCATTAGCTTTTGCAAAATCCACTTGCCGAGGCATAAAAATATTCTCATCTTCAATTCCACCCAGTCCCAACTCTCCATGTATAGTACTGCCCCAACAAAACATTTTCTTGCAAATTTTGAGTCGTTTTGCTGCTATATTACTTTCATTCGTTGAATATCTTTTTGACTTGTTTTCCTATATTAACAGATATATGTTTCACATTAATTTACATTATTAAATTTGCATCAAATGACTATGTATAATGCCAGATTATATATGTATCAATTATTCAATCTAAAAAACATCAAATTAATTACGAGATAATGTGGAATTTGTTATTATTTATTTCCTTATTATTAGTAAGTAAACATTTTCCAAATTGAAATAAATCGAATTTTTAGTTTATTAATAATAAATATTTATTAATATAGAGATGTATACATCTTAATATTTATATATTTTATATAAATCCATTAAATATTGAGATATTTTATTTTAACACTGTGTATTAAACATGCCAATAAATTAATCGACGGAAATTTCTTGTATATTCCGTTTTTAATTAATTGTCAATATAAATATATCTAAAAATGCATTGATATATTTATCACACTCTCAAATTACTCAGTTTGTCCCTTGAAACAAATAAAAAAAAAATTAATAAATATCTCTGATGTTCACTGATGCTTTTTTTTCAGTAACACGTGGCACCATCAAAAATCATAGTGTCACCTTAAACGAATCATCCGTAGGGGAAAGAAAACCGAGCATACTTAAAAAGAGGACATTACGCCGGGAAAAGAATAGTGTCAGCGACTAACCATATTTATCTGTATCTCTCATAAAAGCGTCAGGCTTGCGGGCGGGACATGTTATTTACGTGAGACGCGTGGTACGTCCTAAAAATAATAATTCCTTTGTAGCGGCAACTTCGATTCGGACTGGCAATCGTGTCGGAGTCGGGGACAATCAAATTGTGGCGGCCACGAGGACGCCGCGACGTTTATCGCTATCTGCACATCGCATCGTGAACCTCACATTCGCGGAAATACCATAGAATTTCTGACTGCAAATTCCCCTTATCACCGGGCAAATCCAAGACCTGGAGACGCGTATCTTTTATCTCGCGCGTATTTATATATACTGACGCGAGTGACGTAACGAAAGGACAAAATTTGGAGATGCGCTCGGACACTTGGTACAACTGAGAGGGAGAGGTTAATCCACAGACCTCTTGTATATATGTGTTGGACTATATCACACGACCATCTCATGTCTCACATGGTAAGATGTGAGACAACTATTTACAATTGGGTGGAATTTATTACCGGGTATCGCAGAATTTGATGACATGCCACTTGATAAGACAATTAATGTAAAAACAATTATCAACACTTATATGTACTTGCTCGATTGTAAATGGTTGTCCTGCTTCAATTTAACATCTATCAACCTACTATGAATAACATAAAAGTCTGTGGATTAATTCGAATGTTCTCGCACACGAGTCATGTGCTGTCATTCGAAGATTCTAGAGTGGACTGCCTCTCTTCTGCCATAGCACCAAAATTTACCGGTTTTCTATAACGTATTTAAAGAGATAAATAAGTCAAATAAAAGACGACACGATCGAGAGATGTTTCTTTTCGGGACAATTTATTCCTTTTTGAAACATGATGCAAACAAACGATTATATTTCATGAATATTTCATGCGCGAGCTGAATCTTTCGTAATCATTCGTGACGTTTGACGGTTCTAGAACGAGGAATGACACTGCGCGAATATCGAGTGCATCAGACTGTCTTCGACAGATAATTTTTTTCCCTCTTTTTTTTTCAACGAAATCGAATCTTCCGACATCGCAGCCGAACTTGTCCTTCAGTCGGGAAAATTAATTATTTATTATCAATGCGAAAGTTTAACACGTAAATTACGGAGAAAAAAAGGAATCGATCAAAATTCGAATATCTTCCCCGATTGCCTCGAAGTAAGACGCAGATAAGGCGAACTATCACCGACTCGAAGTTGGCCGGATTTTAGCTGTCACAGTACCTTACCTGAACTCTTTTCCGCGGCAATGGTTAGGTTATCGTGTCATCGCACGACGAGTTGGACGTTTCACGAGACGACGACGATCGAACGGCCTCGCGCGCGAGCGAGATGAAAGGAGCCGGAGGAACGCGACGTCTCCGATGTAGCATAACGAGGGAACAGAGTGCGTAATTCGATTCCTCTATCAAGACCTCGTTAAGGTTACGCGCTGCGTGTCGCTGCTTTCACTTACATGTTCGCTCGATCTTCATCAGCCTCGTCGAAGACAGAGCGACACGATCGAGTCGGTCACGTCGAGCGTTTGTGACAGTCGCATATTATCTTCGTCTCCAACGATCTAACGTGCACTTAAACCGGTACGTTGATACAGATACAGACACTGTGTTCATCGCGCGAGGTATATGTATATTGCATGTATATCGAATATGTGTAGTGTATATATAGTATATATAGTCTTTTTTTTCATTCGCGAGTCTCTTTCTTGACAACCGTGGCGCAAGAAAGTAAGGTAGACCGGCAGAGATACCTTAAATGAGTGCATCGACTTGGTTCGCTAGTGACGTTTTTGTCGAGTTTCGTTTACCAACAATGCGATTTAATCTTATCTCATTACACGCTTCTCTGTTTTAAAAGATCCTCTGCTCTGATACGAGAACTCTGTTGTAGAAGGTAGAACTTGTACGATTGTTAAGAAAACATAGGTTTATATGGCACGTATCAAGAATCTCGTTGAATATAGGTATCTGTGTCAAATATCGATCATATGTGTATATGAATTAAAACACATCAAACATCTTTACATGAATTATAATATAATTATAATTATTATATATTATACATACATACATGTTCTTATAATTGACATGCAATTATAATTATTATATAATAATTATAATTTTAATATAATTATAATTATTATATAATAATTATAATTTTAATATAATTATAATTATTATATAATAATTATAATTGCATATCAGAACATATATGAAAAATATATTCTTTGATATGTGCATAAATTTATCTTGTAAGGCATGTATGTGTATGATATTCCTCTTTAATTTTATATCAAAATATTTTCCTTCTTTTTCTACAATCTTTTTATAAAAATATATGTGTGTAGTAGTATTAAAGAGTTTTATACTATTTAAATAAAATTAAATAAAATAAAATTAATATAATTTTTTTTGTTTTTCAGATAATAATGAATACATGATGCAAGGTTAATTATCATATGCACAAAAGTTATCAAAGGAATAATATATTATTAGGTAAGAGATAACACATATGCAGACATAAAATAGATTAATCATCTTTTTTCAAAATTTTCAAAAGATGAGTCATTAGGAAAATATATCTTGGTGAAAGATAATGTGAACTAAAAATTCAATTTGAATCTAATATAATTCAAAAGAAATAAATTAAATTGAAGTGAAATTAATTTAAATAATAGAAGCATATGTTGCATTAGGCCAAAGGGAAGAGAAATTGTATCTATAGAAGGATCATAAATAATGAACATAAATAATTATAAGCCAATGTTGACAGTTTGCCTTTGCCACATGCAACATACACAAACATGTTGCTGTAATATTTATTTTATTTAGTCACTTTGTATTCAAGTTTTATCTCTTGCTGATCACAGTGTTATTTACATTAGTATCATTAGAATGCATACAAGGTGAGTATTTTTTTTATGCAATAGCAAATTTGTTTCATTTTTCAAAAGTATTTATTCACAAATTTACATTTGAAAGAGCATACATGTCAGAGTGAAACTTGAAAACTATTAAATCGCGTCTGCAAAATAACTGCTACTTAGAGTGTATAAACAAACTCTTCTTAACTAATGGCCATTTCTGATCTAAATATAAACAAACTCGAGTGTATAACGTATAAACAATATAATGTATAAACATAAGCAAAGAAAATAAATCAATCGATTTCCTTATATTTACGCCTATGCAAGTCTGGACAGAGACCTTTAAATTCCTTAAATGAAAGAAATAAGCTCAATCAAAATCAGTATAAATCGAGGGCAATAATATAGCACGAATTAATCCCACTATATCACTGTGTTATCCGCGACGCGGAAATATCCGATAGACGCGTCTTAATAACACGTGGTTCATGCTCGAGTAATAATATGGCGCGAGTGTCCGCTCTATACGTCATCGTTTCCGCGGCGCGAGAGCGCGACACGCGTCTCCGGCAACGCGCATGCTCGCGCTCCCCTCTCCTCTCCATCCCACCTCCTCCCTGCCCCCACTTCGCGGCGACGGATCGAGCGGGCGGGCGGCGGCGGCCATATTATCAGTGAGGTGTCAGTATTTTCCGAACGTGACGGGATTTTTGGGTGTGGATCGCGCGATTTCCTGTTTCGCTGTCCGTGTCGCGAAGTAATAGTGCGAGTGCCAGGTGAACCGTCGTGGATGTAGTGCGACACACGTGTCACAGGATCCTGGTGCGTGCGAGCAGAGAGATCAGGTACGTAAAGTGCGTCGCGCGGTGCGTGTACGTTTCGTGTACGTTTCGTGTACGTTTCTTCTCGTCTCGTCTCGCCTCGTTTCGTTTGTGTCCCGTTCATGTCGGTCGATCGACGACTCGGTTGCTCTTGTCGCTCGCCTCTCGTCATCGTCGTCGCCCTTGCTCTCGTCCTCCCGGGATACGTGGCTGCCGTATCGCGGCGATTCGCACGCGGAGAGAATTCGCGGCCGGCGATCGGCGACGAGAAGAGGCCCGACTCCTGCCATCGCGCTGCCGGCTCGCGTTCGCGAGCGCGCGGATCTCGTCGATCGACCGATAATACCGTCGATTTTATTGTTTCTTATTGCACTCGAATTCCGCTGCCCTTTTCGAGATGCACAAACGTGCGCCGCGAAATTTTTTGGTGCGCAATCCGAAGAAAAAAATTGAGTAGCATTTGCGAATTACAGATGTACGAGTGTCTGGTTCTATAGTAGATACGTCGAGATTGAGTTAATCGCGTTTGTAGTTTTTTTTTATGTGTATTGTGTAGAATTTAAAGCACGTGATTTACGCTGGAAAGAATGAAAAAATTCAAATTTATCGGGAAACTCGATTATATTAGTTCGATTATATATTTCACGTTATATCTGTGTATGTGTACACACACACACACACACACACACACCACACACACACACACACACACACAATTTAAAATCTGTGTAAAATTTAATTTTTTTTGCATCACGTTTATCAACATTGATTAAGCTTTACTGATTAAGCTTTAATTTGAATAATTTTTTTTATAAAAACAGTATTGACTATAATTCATATTAATAATATTCATATTATTTAACACAAAAATTAATGCTACTTATATTGAAATAACGATATGTAATTAGGACGTCTTTAATTATCGGATTTGTGAAAGGACAATAAAAAAGATTGATTAAGCGAGGCAAAACTCATTCGATTAGCAAACCTCGTAATAATTAGATGCTCTACATTATGTAGTAATAGCATGTGAAAAAAAGCAAGACAAGAAAGGAAAATTAATTAGAGCGATTACTATGTCAATAAAGAAATCCATTAATGTGATTAACTATATTTTTCTTTTGTATCATCAAGAATGACTTAAAAATAGGAGAAGGATAAATCGATTAGATAATTAATACAATTGCACGAATATATTTATTCTTCATTCACACAATATATTCTAAATTTACAAATGTATATAAATAAGATTTGAGAGATAAATATATTTTGATAGATAAATATATTTCGGCGCAAATATTTTGACTTTCCACAAACGCGACGACCTTTGAATAAACAACAAAAATATTCTTTTTTTTTTTTCAATTAATTTTCAAATAAATTTCAAATATTGAGACCAAATTTTACTCGTATATTTACAAAGCTATTCTAGATACAAAAATATATAATTGAGAAAATTTTCGAATAATAAATAAAAAGAGTCAATTTTAAATTTTTCGAGTTGTCATCAAAATAAAGGCCATTCGTTGTGAAGTTTATAGTGTATTTAAAGTCACAAGCTATCGCCAATTAAAGTCGATGACTCGACGAT